TTTTTATATGCTAAATCCAGAATAAGTTCTTGAAATGATCATTTATAATAAAGTACTTTCCTAAAGTAATTTTTTCTTATTAAAGATGTGTATTTGATTTGAAATCTAAAAGATTTTTAATAAAATTTAATAATTCATAAATTGTTTATAGTCAATGTATTTTTTTAATTTTACATTTTATTATACAGAAATGACCGTTTCGAGAATGTACTTTAAATTTAGATGATAAAAATACCAAAGTACTCTCGAATTAATCATTAATTGAGAATAATATTATTTACAAAGGACTATTTAGGCCATCTCCAATGGGATGCCTAAAGGAGATGCTCAAAGGAGAGAGAAGAAGATGTTTAAAGGTGCCACTATTAGAGATGGGTGCTTAGAGGAGGTATTCAAAGAAGAAAGAGAGTGAGAGATGCTCAAGAGAGCACCTGATGCTAGCACTCAAAATCATGTGTGCATTCTTTTATTTTTTGTAAAATAAGCTTTTTTTAATAGTACACTCTCTTTTTAATGTTTTTTTTCTTTTCATTTTTGTGTCTCTTTGTTTCCCCGGAAAAAATCTTTACCATTTTTCCTAAGTTTTTTTTCTTTTCTTTTTCTTAACTTGTAGTGATACCATAAAAAATTGTTAGCCTTGGTTTGCCATAAATCTGTTTGAAATAGTCTTTCATTTGATTGAGTATGATGTGCACAAAATAAATAAATAAATAAATAAATAAATAAATAAATAAATAAATAAATAAATACTCCATAACAAAACATGACACCCTATTTTATTTTTAGTAATACCACCGTGCCTTTAATTTTTTAATCAAAATTTTTTAACAATAAAAAAAGTCATTGATAATATTTTTAATTATTTACACTATTTTTTTCTTAAAAATCTTTTAATTAATAATTAATTACTCCATATTTAACACTTGTATATATAATACAAAAATCCATAATTAATAATATAAAAATGGCATTTATATGTTAATAGGATCCACCCAAAGCATCTCAATGAGATGTCACCATTAAAAGGTTTGGATGTTTAAAGAGATGCTCCAATGCTATCTTTAAAATAAAGCCCACATTTGGGCATCTAATGAGAGGTGCTACCACTATGGATGCTCTTAGGGAATAAATCTCAACTATAGAAGACCATGTAAGTAATTTAAACTTATTGAGGACTGAATTGGGAAAACACCTTATTACAAAGAACCATTTTAGAATTTACTCTATATTTAATTCTCAAATAAGACGATATCATATAGATGTCAAATTAACAGAGTATTATACTCCGTAGTTTTTTGAATGCTAAAAATCTTTACCAATATTTATCAATGTTTTAGTTTTTTTCTTCCAAAAAAGCAATCAACAAAATTTAAAAAAATGGTTACCCTTCTTTTGTGAATCTTTACTCAACAAGCTAAGTCTACTTGGGTTATTTACTAATATTTTTTGACAGCACATGACTATACATTTATTTATCAATAAAATATATTGTGTGTTGAGCTGCAGATCGATAAATAGCTTTAGAAACTAAGAATTAAAAATATATTCCCTGTAAGAATTAAAGATAATATTGAAATAAATATTGTAAGTTGAGTTGCACCTAAGTGTTTAATGTAGCTTTGTTGGGTACGTAAAGAGGTTGGCGTTGTCTTAGCAAGCATGATACTCTTGTTTTAGTAAATAAGGTGTGGCATTTGTTGGGTAAGGAGAGTGATCCTATTATGTTTGAATTGGCTCTTAGCTTTTTGGATGTGGATCACGACTAACCGTGCAACCGTGCGTGATGGAGGTCGGTGCTTCAGCGGATGAGATGCTTATATATAACATCTCTCATCAATATTTTTCTTGCCATCTCATTTTGACTCTTTCACATTACCAGCTCTTAAGACCTCATTTGGTACATGGAATTCAAACTATGGAATTGGAATTGAGAATTTCAATTTCAATTCTGGTGTTTGGCAGCACAAAAATTATGTGGATTTAGAACTGACAGTGCCAAAAATAAATTGGAATTGGTAAATTCAATTCTATGTAATTGAACCTCATGAAATTTCAATTACAATTCAATTCCAATTCCATTTACCAAACGGCCTCTAAGAGATTAACAATCAGGTGACTCATTAACATGCTGGCAAGTGCGCCTGATTCTGAGTTTGATTTTTTGGAATGGGTTCATGTCCTCTCCTCTTAATATTTACTCCCTCCGTCTTAAAATTCATTTGACTTTTCACGGTCTCCAATACGACACTTTGATCATTAATATCTCTATTTTTATATAAATATACATTATCAAAATAATTTATTTCAAAACTATGTTTCAAAATGAATCTATTGATACTAAATTTATATGAAAATTTAATATAGTACTCCGTATATTTTTTCCGTAATATGCATTTAAAGTTTAAGACACTACAAGAATTCACCTAAATTGCAACAGAAATCTGCGAGGGACTGCTTTCCGTCGCAGATCTGCAACGAGACTGCGACGAGGCTTGGTATTTAGAAAATCTGGTAAAAACTGCGACAGACTGCTGAAGTTCATCGCAAATCTACAATGGAATAAGTATGTCTGTAGCAGATGTCCGTGCCTGTCGCAGACTAACCCCTACCTTATCTTTTTAGTCTCAATCGACATCCTCACAAAGAAGTCATTCTACCTCCTTCAAAGTAGAAACCATCTAGGGTTATCCGCCGTTGCGTCACCGATGTTCAGCCCCTCTTCGCCGTCTCCAATGTTCAGCGCCCTCCTCAGCTCATCACCGCTGCCTCACCTTCGCATACCCCCCTCGTTCCTAGCAGCTCCGTTGCGCAAGATGGGGAAGCCACCCCCTAAGTTCAATTATTGCATTTGTTTTGTGAATTAGTTGAATGTTCTTCACAACTTTCAAGCATCTTTACTTAATTAATTAATTAATTAATAGTATTCATTCTAAGTCCTGTGTATGTATGTAACCTACCATATTTGTTGTTCAATTGCAATTTTTATCAAATTGGGTGTTATGGATCTATTTTTGTAAAACTTATAGCATAGCGAAGTGTTTACATGTTGTTTTTTGAGAGTTTTATATGTTGAATTTATCAACATCTTGATCTGAGTGGTGGTTGAATTCAAAAAAAATGCTTTATATGCAACATTTACTAAGAAACCTGACTTTGAAATCTGATTCCAAACGGAACTTTGCACATAAAGTCTGTTTTTTGTTTTTTAATTGAGCACCTGGTGTAGAACTAAAAGACATTGTTGAAATCTTTGTGGTTATCTTATTTTCCACTTCATCATATGTTGCATTGTCTCTTGAGCTTAATTGATTATTTTTACACCATTTATGCTTTTAACCATCTATTTAAAAGTTTTTGTAAGATTTTTTGAGCCTATGTAGAAATGAATTTGTTTGAAGTAAATATCTACACATACAAGATGCAAAAGCTGATCTGAAGCAGCATTTCCAAGTACCAGGCAATGAGTGTTTTGTCATTTTCAGTTTCTTTAGCCTATGCAGTTCAAATATTATCTTTTTTTGGGCTGAAAACTAAAGAATCTGGATAATTTTGAATCTGATTCTTATTTTTATTTGGTTAAAAAAACTTGGTCTTAGTTTTGTTTTGCAGATTTCAGGTTCCAAAAAGCACATAACAGAGAAAACGAGGACCTTGTTTTGCGATTTCAGGTTCTAAACATTGTTAGATAGTGAAGTAACAAACAAGTGGATTTGAGATCAAATACTTCATTTGTGGAAATAAGTTAAATAGAATAAATGTACTTTGTATGAAAAAATAATATAATCACTTCAAATTTATGATGAATATACATGCTATTTTGGCTGATGATTTTTTATAATTGTAGGATCGATTCGTTGCGCTTTGTGAATTGACATTATGTGAAGAAAGAACCCAATGCCGTGATGAGCAAACATGGTATTTACTATACCTAGTGGATGGACATAATATGAAGAATTGTGTGCCACGAGAAAATAACTATCAGCATGAGATGAGAACCTGATATTTGTTAGAGTTTTTGATTCAAAACAAAATTGTTTAACTAGGATTTTTTTTGTATACATTACACTATGTATATTGTAAGGATTGTATTTGTTTAAAATTAATATGACATTGTGGTGTTTGCTATTGTTTGATGTTTAATTAATTATTTTAATTTGTTGTATCGTAAATCTCGCTCCTGTTTATCATTCGTCCACAACAACATTACAAAAATAATTGAAAAGAGAAGTGACTTATCATAAAAATAGAAAAATTTAGTGTTTGGATGCAAGAAATTTGCCACAAATCTGCTACGGACAATCACTTTGTTGCAGATTTTGATTGAAATGCAGAATAATTCCGTTGCAGATTTTGTCGCAAATCTGCGACGGACTCTAAGTCCGTAGCTGTTCCGTCACAGATTTGATGATTTATTTACCGCGTGAATAGCGTCGCAGATCTGTCGCTGATTTGCGAGAGACGTATTTTTCCGTCGCAGATATTCAATTTGCGACAACTTTTTTTGCGACGGACTGGGTCTGTTGCAGATCCGTCACAGCTTCTCTATCTGCTACGGATTTTTCAAATCTGCGACGGAATTTGTCCGTTGCAGATTTGTCAAATTCTTGTAGTGAGAACTTTGACTGCAAAAGTCAAAATGAGAAATTAATTTTAGGACGGAGGGAGTATTTCTAAAGCATTGTACTCTGATTTGCATTAATATTAATCCATTGATTTTCAAAAAAAAAATTACTCCGTATTTCGCTCTTGGAGTATTTGGACAATTGGACTATTTGGACCCAAGTCTAAGGGCCTGTTTGGGAATAGCGTTAGAGATTAGCGTTAGCGTTTTGGATAAAATTTTAACGGTGTAGATTACTTTGGAAACGCTAACGCTAACGCTAAACGCTGGCCGTAGATAGCTTTTTCAAAACGCTAACGCTAATCTCTAACTCTATTCCCAAACAGACCTAACTAGGGTCTGACGTAAAAAAAAAGCTCATAGATCCGTCCATAGGTCACCACTGCAACTCTGCAAGAAGCAGTGGGAAGAAAAGAAAAGGGCGAGCCTGCAAGAGATAGCACCTAGCTCAGAACAATGGCTCCCCGTGCAAGAACCAGAAAGGTTCATTCTTTTTCTTCCCCATTTCATTCCCAATCTTCTTCTCCGTTGTTCCATGAACTTTCAGAGTTTCTCCAATGAATTTCTGCTAATTTATTGATTTATTTTGCGAGATAGAGGTCAACAAGAATGGACGCCGCGGTTGATGCGATGGGAAATCTAGGTTTCGATGCCGATGTCGTTACTCGAGTTGTGAGAGAGCTTCTGGATGTAAGTGTTCGGACTCTTTATTTCGCCGCAGAATATTCATGATTTCCGCTGTTGTTTCAGCTTGAGATTTTCTCTGAAATTGTTGGAAGGTTCTTTGAAATTGATCGCCGATTAAACTTGGGATTTCACGGATTGGAGGAGTTCGAGGAAGTGTTTTACACAGCCTCGTTGTGTAATGTAGAAATTCAATATTGAAGTGAGATTTTTTTTGTTCGGGAAGGGCTTTAGTGGTAATATGTTGTTATTACTTTGAAAGATATACGGAGGAGATGAAGCTTGGCCGTTCATTGAGGAGTATGGATACAAGGAGCTCATAGATGCAGTTCTTCGCGATTCCGAGACTTCAAAAGATGAAAACTTGGAACAGGTATGGACCAAATGTGTCTTGTTTCATTACACTGATCAATCAATCTGTCATCTTGTTTTCTTTGATGAACGGCAATTCTCTCTGTTTTTGCCCTTGTTTCTTCATATGTGGGCTGGTTTAACCTGACTTTGTCAAGTGGAGAGCTGAAAATTTTTCTTAGGACTTTTTTAGCTAGCTAGCTTCATACTTTGTTTGTGCTTCAATGAGTTCTTTGTTCGTACTTTTTTTATCTGAGCCCGGAGTCTCTTGAAAACAGCACTCTCTACTTCATAGTAGGGGTAAGGTCTACCTGCACACACTCCCCCCAGGTTCTACTATGGTGGGATTCTAGTGGCTTTGTTGTTGTTGAGTCACAAATGAATGTAGATCAAATACGATATTTGTGCAGCAGTCTGATTTCTGATAATGGAAATAGGTGCATAAAATTTGTCCATGGCTTATTTGGGCGCATACATAGGTAGGCCCCACAGGTGGCGCGGGTGGTTGATTTGGGGAATTTAAACCGGCCACCAATGAAAGTCCTGGCGTTTAGGTGGTGGGTTAAAAAGGGTACAATTGAAAGGTTTTGCTGAAGGTTATGGGAGGAATTGACAATGGTTTTAAAAACAAGAATTGGTACCAAATTTGGGAAGAGAGTAGAAGGATATTGACCAAAATAGCATTAACACTTATTTATATCATCAAACCCAGAATGAATCTTTGCAAAGTGAAGTTGCCTATGGATCATCAAATGGTCTTGCTTCTTGACAGGTATGCTCAGGAGCTGGTGATTTTGCACCAGAAGTAGAGAACAGTATTGTTGTGAAATCACCGTCATCAAGCGTCGTCTGCGCTAATGTTACCAGCACAGGTTATCAAGTTAGCCTGTTTTCTTGCCTTTTTTTGCTACACCAGGAACTTTAATATGCAATTTTCTTCAAATTAAGGGACGAATGCATACATTTGTTTTATTCCTGGCCTATATGCTTAGATTTGGATTATATATACTTATTTTCAGTCTTCCAAACTGTAAAATGAATGTGAACTTTATATGGAAGCCATTGCTGTTTGGTAAGGGTTATTTGGCTGAAATGACTAAACCCCTTGATTTTTCATGAAAGTAATAGGTTTGAAAACCCGGGAAGATGGACTCTAAAATACACGAAAATTGGCAACCGTTTGAATTTGGCATTATAGGGGAAAAAATATGTTTTGTAGGAGATATGCTTCTGGCCATTGAAGATGTAAATGGTTCAAAAGAAGCCGAGTACGATAGCGACGAAATGACCTTGATTAGGAGAAAGAGATCCAAAGATACCTCCAATTCTAGCAGGACTGAGATTGCCAAAAACGCCCCCAACGTGTTGGCCTCCTCCCTCCCTTCTTCAAGGATTCTCAAGAAACCTCATTCTGTCACTGTGAAGCCATCCTGTGAAAAGAATCCGGGTAACACGTCTTCTTCGCGGGCCCCACCTGCTCTTCTTCCGCAGAATTCTCCAGAACCGGTTACTCCTCGCCCGCCGGCAAGGCGCTGGCCTTGTTATGGCTGGATTGAGAGTGACGACGAGGATGAACCCGAACTCGTGTATTTTCCACCGGTGGGGCCCGCCGACCGTCCATCGCGGTTTTCTTATTTCAAGACTGGAACCAACAATGAGGGGAGGCGGCCTTCAAGGTGGGATCAAAAACCAGAAACAGCCTGATCTGACCGGGTGCCTCCTTCACTACCCAATTAAGTATGAACACTAACTATTGTAAGTAAATGTAAGAGTGTTGCTATATCCACCCTGTTTTGGCTATATCACTTCATTCATTAATGCTAAGTAGGAAACAGAGAATTTTGATGCAAGGGCACTTGAAGGGGCAAAATTGTCTATTTGACATGAAAAGAGTTGATAGAGCCAAAATGGAGTGGATATAACAACACCATAAATCTACTGCTTTTCTAGAGTTAATAGGAGCCATGCTATGCATATTTTTTGTTTGTTTTTGTTTTTTGTTTTTGCTCCCAGATTTATTATTTACCAGCATATATATAGCTTGAAAGTGTGTAAGGATCATAGTATTATTAATATGGGTTCCTATCATAGCTATTTTCAGTGACAAAATACCCCGGAGTATGTTGTATATTTATACAATGGAAAGGTTTTTGAAATTCTCTACAAAATGAATTTAATGAAATACTTTTTGTTTTAACATATGCATTTTTTATTTGAAAATCACATTTTGATTAGTTCATGTGGGGAAAATCAAAGTAGATGAATATTTTGAGATAAATGTAGTACTCCGTATGATTCTTTTTACTCGGCATTAGATACACACTTTGTCTCTCAAAAGAGTTTTTTATGCCATTTTTTATTTGTTACGGAGTATGAGTTTAACTATTTTATTTTAATAAATATTTAAAAAATAAGAAAAAAAATATAGGTCACTAGAACTAGCAAAAATTAATCTGATCTATTTTTGAAAAGAGATTGAATGACTTGTCGTCGTTAGAACATCTTCATCCATTTTATTTAAATTCATTCATTCAATAATTCTCTCTCATCCACATCATTTATTATAATATATTTGATTTTTTTAACAAATACTCATAATCCATTTCATCCATCCATCTGCTTAATTAATTATTCATGTGGCCTATTTTATTCTATTTTATTTTAAATAAAAATATAATGAAAACTATATAATTAAATATTTTAATTTAATAAAATGTTTTAATATTTTGAAATTAAATATTACAAATCCAATATCATAAATAAATATTACTCCATATAAATATTAAACTAAGTAAGTCTTACATTTAAATGCATTTAATGGAATGAATGTTTAACCTCCTCCCTCTATCTAATGAATCATTCACAAACTAGTAAATGACATTTTGCATCTATCCATCATTTTAAACATCATTAGTGGAGATGTTCTAATCTTAGTGATCATATTGTTGAATTAGTACCTTCTTGGCAAATACTTCTTTATGAAAGTCAGGTTGAGGCAAGTATCTATCCTATTGAGTCCTAAATTGAGTATTAACATAATTCTCTTCTAGTTTGTGACAACAATATTTGTTGTGATATTATGACAACATATACGGTGCTTCGATCGACAAGTTGATAGTTAACCCATCGCAAACCCTCCGGTCCCTCACTTCAACATGTCCCTTCCACAAAACGCCAAAATGATACAGCAGCATTGTAACATATCGATGTTTTGGGGAGAAGAGCAAGAGATGTCGTATGATTAGTGGACATTTTTTTTAAATGACATTTCGAATTTTAATCTTTTAATTTTTTCGTAAATTTTCCATCTCGATTTGATACAATCATGCGAACCTATCTTCATTCTCTTCAATTGCACTTCTCAAATCAAGTTGACTTTAAAGTCAAAACAAATTTAGAGATGTAATTGAAGGGTAGTAATTCTCATTTTTTCTTCGGAAGGACCATACGGCCCATAGTGACATTGGTCAAACCAAGCCGTTTTTTTAATCCATTTCAGCCCAAATTGCAACTCTTCCTTCCTCATCCACTGAGAACCGATACTCTCCCGCATCTTCGCCATGAGTTTTCCGGCGGTATGCCGCGGTGATGCCGTTCCTGTATTGCGGCGCAGCTCTTGCTTTCATTTCTCCTTCCAACCTATGCTTCTGCCTTGTTACGCAGTTTCTCGGCTGAAGCCCATCGATTTCTCGACTAAACGCTCGATTAGGTTCGCCGGGAAACTTGATCTTTGTATTGTACTCAGAATTGTATGCATATCATTCCTGGTCGATTAAAAAAGTAGTGATTTCTTCAGTTCGTTAATCAAACAAGATTATTTTTGAATAGACGACAAATCTAATTTTGTTTCTAACATTTCGCCTATGCCATTAGGATTAGGTTCAATGTGAAGCGAGGTGATTTTTTCAGATGTAGTGCGACAGAGACCGGCCCTGATAAAAATGAAGACGAGGCATTTTTGCTTTAATTTCTTTACTTTCATGGAGAAAGTCATATTTTGCTTCACTCTTTGAATGTATCACGATTTGGTGTCACCTTAGTGTCCAATTTTGTGTTTAAAAGGAAAAGAAGCTGCATGAAGAAGAAACCAGCTTGGGCTCAACCGATTCATCTTCATCAAATAATTCTCAGCCAAGCTCTTCTTCTGATCAAGTAGGATATTCATTTACTCGGTGTTTTTTGTTTACTTAATTTGTTAATTTAGTATTGTCATGTAATTGCTTAATTTTTCTAATACGCTGGCAGGTCATGTCATTACCAGTTTGAAATGCCACACTGTTTTGACTTAAATTTTATGGGATCGTGTTTTCTGCCAGGATAATGGGCAAAATCTTGGGTTTCTCGAATCTAATGACCAAGTCAAGAGTAATAGTGTAGATGCCAGTTCTCAATCTGGAAATGAGGCATTTCAGTTTTTAAATGCTTGATGCTTCCTATATGAATTTTCACTCTTAGGCATGACGAGTTTTTACTTGACGAGTTCCTATATGCTTGATGCTCTTTTGCGGTCTTGCTTTCATGATTGACAATTTAGTTTTTACTTTATTATATTTTTATTTTTTATTGATGGCAATAGGTCCATAGTCCTAGCTTCTTCCATTTTTCATCATTGCACAAATTTTATTATTGTTATTAGAAAGTTGGTATGATTATATGAAGTTTTTGAAATCTAATCTCCCAGTTTACTGATTTGTGACCTGTTTGATTCCTGCGTGAGTAATGTGGAGATTAGAGAGGGAACTAGGCAGGGGTAGAAAGGGGAAGGGAATGCATTATGTCCTAGTTCCCCCCATTGTCAAAACCTAAAACTTGCTGTGCATTGCTGTTACTTAATCGTAATGCTAGCACTCTTTAAGGTTATGTTTGGATCCCAGAAAAGTCCTAAAGAAATTTAGTTTCTGTGTTTGGTTTTATTTTGAAATATCAACGGAAAATGAAATGTGAACATTTTAAACTGTGCATAGATTTGGAATTCTTAGTTCTTATATGATAGAAATGGAAAAAATAAAATGAGAATCAACGAATATCAAAAGGTTTGGTTTCCAAGCAGACCCTAAATGTTTCAAGTATCATGCCAATATGTTTTACCAGCAACCATTTCCAAACAGGTAAAAATCCTTTCAACTGCATGGGATGATTGATAGCCATTCGGAAATTGGGAAGTTGTAATGGTTTTGTAATTGACCTTTTGATGTTGGCTTTGTTGTCTTACTTTCTGTAGCATTTGTTTTGGTGCAGGATGCTATGGAAAATCCAGTTGCAAGCGGATCTCCTCTGCCAGGTCTGAAGGTGATAAGTGTTTGCCTTACCATTTTTATGATTTGTATAATTAGCACAATTGTTGACTCTCACACTATCTTTACTTTCTTTTCTGTTACTCCATTTCCAGCCACAGAATCTTGATGAAGCTATAAGGATTCCAAAGGAAACTATTGATATTTTGAGGGAACAAGTATTTGGTTTTGACACTTTTTTCGTGACAAGTCAGGAACCATATGAGGTGAGCACCTCAATTGACGTTGCATATTTTTTAAGTTTCACTTTTACAGGAAAAAGAATGATATAATGATTTGAATTCAATATACTATTCCTTGGTTGTGTTTTAAGTTACAATATCTGGGGGATTTTTTATAAGGTCAATCATCATAATTCTCACCCTTATCATCACCTGAATCCCCACTAGTTGGGGTGGATAGCATGAAATTATTACATAACGAAAACAGTGTGGCAAAGTTTTAAGTTGTGTGCCCTAGATATCACAACCTTGTCATGAAGAATTGATGTCCGAAAATTCCAATAGTCATCATTATGGGTTATCTCCACCCTCATGGAAAAAAGCATGCGGTAACAATGGTTTGAGATAGTTATGGACATATGGTCATGTCTCATTACAAATTGATATTGTAAAATCAATATGCAAATTAGAAAACATGATTGTATGTATGTTTTTTTGCCACTTACGTAGGATATTTCGACCTTCATGGAAAATATCATTAGACAACAATGGGTTGAGATAGTTGACATTGTTACTTTTTATTTCATTTTAGAACTTTTTCTTTGATATACTTTCAGGGTGGTGTTTTATTTAAAGGGAATATACGAGGGCAGGCCGCAAGAAGTTATGAAAAAATATCAACAAGATTGCAGGTGTTTGCTCTACTCATTTTTGGGCTGAATTTTTATACACAAAGTATGACCAAAATAGAGTAACTTGTAAGTTTGGGTGCAGGACAGATTTGGAGATATGTATAAACTATTTCTTTTGATAAATCCAGCCGATGATAAGCCTATAGCAGTTGTGATTCCAAAAATAACCTTGCAACCCGATAGAACTGGTAATTATATGCTTATATAGCATCTTGTCTTTTAAATTTGCTGTATTTTCACAATTGCTAGATGCAATTCAGCCAGTATTATATTTACTTAACCTTCTGCAGCTGTCCCGGAATGGGTTGCCGCGGGTGCTTTTGGACTTGTTACATTATTCACCCTGCTTCTTCGTAATGTGCCTGCATTGCAAGCAAACTTGTTGTACGCCATCTTTCCAAATTCTAATTTTTTGCATACTCTGTATTCATGATACGAGTTTTGTAAACAGTTAATGAGTAGATTATATAATGTGCAGTTTGTGCACAAAAAAGCGTGGTGCTCTGATGCTCATGCTCTACTTATTCAATATTTTTTGTATTAAATATTCCAAATATAAGCATGATACTACCTGTGTGGTTTTATGTCCTTAGGCTACTGCTTTTAGAATGATTTGATTTTTCAGTTACACGCACACACCTTCAATTTTCTCTTTCCTTTTCTCATTTTCAGCTACTCACTATTTCTCTCATTAAATGTTCCAAATACAAACATGATATTGCCTACAAATATCTCTTCTCTTTTTTGTGGAGGATCCCTTTACATTTCTATGTTATTTTGGAGAAATGCTCATTGTAATTGCATTGGTGCACATTGTAAGCATCTCTGCACATTTGTATAAATTGGCATCGTTAGGTGTATATTATGATAAAGTGTTCAATTTTCATAGGTTGGTTTTTGACAACTATGACTTGTTGGTGAATGGCCTTCCCGGAGCACTAGTAACTGCACTTATTCTTGGTGTTCATGAAATTGGCCACATCTTTGTCGCACAAAAAGCTGGAGTTAAGCTGGGAATACCTTATTTTGTTCCTAGCTGGCAGGTAAAAAAATCTTCCTGATCCCAACCTCACTTGCAGTAAAGAGTAAAATAGTCTATCTATATTGCTTCCTCGTACTAGTTGTGCATACCATTGTGCACTCCGTATTTGATAAACGATCTAAACTCTCTATTCATTTTCTTGAAACTGAATTTGGAAATTGGAATAGCTCTTTCTTCCCCAATCAAACCCGCTACTAATGAGAGCTATTTTGATGGCAGATAGGCTCATTTGGCGCTATCACAAGGATATTGAATATAGTACCGAAACGTGAAGAACTGTTGAAGGTTGCAGTTGCTGGGCCTTTGGCTGGATTCTCATTAGGCTTTATTCTTTTCCTTTTGGGCTTCATCATACCACCTGCTGATGGGATAGGTGTTGTAGTGGATCCCTCCGTGTTTCATCAATCATTTCTAGCCGGTGGCATAGGTGTGTAACCACTATCTGACCTCCTAGTATAACCTCAACTCTATTAAGATGTCCGCAAAACAGAGAAGTTGTTTCTGTTAGACTATTAAATATGCAATGCCAAATTTGGTTTCTTTGTAGCAAAGCTGCTTCTTGGGGAAGCATTGAAGGAAGGCGTTCCCATTACCTTAAATCCACTTGTACTGTGGTCTTGGGCTGGACTTCTCATCAATGCCATTAACTGTATCCCAGCAGGAGACCTCGATGGTGGAAGAATTTCTTTCTCCATATGGGGTAGAAAGGTACTACATTTACCAAAGCTAACTACAAAAATCAAATCATGGTCTTGAGGTGCACATCTGATATTTTTCTCTCTTGTGAAAACTCGGGAAAATTTCGTAATTGGTACCCAAAAGGGTAGTGTAGCTGTGACTACTCTCATATTTGTACCGAAATTCGTTACTTTCCCCAGTTTGAGGAATCTGAATCCCAATTGAGCTCTCACTTGATGTTAATACAGGCATCAGCACGCCTCAGTGCGGTCTCCATTGGTCTTCTTGGGATATCATCGTTATTCAGCGACGTAGCGTTTTATTGGGCCGTCCTAATATTCTTATTACAGAGAGGCCCAGTTGCCCCGCTGTCCGAAGAAATCTCAGAGCCCGACAACAAATACATTGCTCTCGGTATCGCTGTCTTGCTAGTAGGTCTTCTAGTGTGCTTACCATACCCCTTCCTTTTCAATTCTGATGCTGCTTTAATGAGCTCTTCGGATATTCTGTAATCTTAATAATAGTAATAAGTAATAATATTTCAATATGCGAAAGTAATGCAGTGAGGTAACTTCTATCTGGCCATGTGCATAGTTAGAGAAGTGATTTACAAGCTTTTAATGACCCAATCTCTCCATTTCGGCCTTGGAGTTTAACAAGATAAATCCGAGTAGATCTATTTTTGTCAAAAACCATATTTCAATCCGGAAAATTAGCATTTAGCAGTAGTACTATTTGCAACATTTATTTTCCCCTCCAAAATTAAAACCAAATTTCCTTCCTATTCAGATTTCAGAGGTCACAAAATTGAAGTCACACTTTTCATATTTGGCATGACTAACACACAAAAAGACTATTTGGTCCGTTTGGTATACGGAATTGATGAAATTGGAATTGAATTGAAATTGAAATTCCATGAAATTCAATTCCATAGAAATGAATTCACCAATTCCAATTCATTTTTTGTACTATCAATTCTAAATCCATAAAATTTTTGTGCTACCAAACATCTGAATTGGAATTGAAGTTCTCAATTCCAATTCCATAATTTGAATTTCGTGTACCAAACGGGGCCTTTAAGTTTTACTCCGTGTATAAAATAAAAGATCAAAGTACTATGTCGTGGTATCATTTTATCAAATGAATAATGATAATAAATAAAGAAAATACTTCCTCTATTCTTGGAATGTTTGTCTAGTTTTACTTTTTTGAAGTAAAAAAAATTGAACTTTGACTTATAACTGAATAAAAAATTATTTGGTATTTTATATAGATGAAATAATATCTTAAAAATACTTAGATGAATCTACTTGACCAATTTTGTAGGAATTGAATATTTACTACTCTCTGTTCCAATTTGAATTGTACATTTCGATTTACGATGATTGACTGAAGTTATTTTCAAATCATTTTATACGAAAACAATGTAGAATTAAAAAATAAAAATTACATATTTAAAAATTACATCAATTTAATCATTTGATAAAATAATATCAATTTCACCATGAATACATAAATATTACATCTTTCACCACTAGTTTAGTTTCTACTCCTGGTTAGGTTTTAGTTTTAGAATGTCAATGCCGTGTATATTTTAAAACTTTTTGTTAATTATCATCATAAAGGATATGGTGTCATTTAGGATGTTGTATTTATCCAAGCACCTTTTTTAATGTAATTAACTAAACAATCATACGAGCATAATAGAGGTATATTAAAAAATGTGCATCAAAGGATACATTAAAAGTATATACTAATATTTTGATGGTTCACAATGTATTATTATATGTCACTCTAAAACACGACACTCACTCGCACTAATATAAAATGAAGGTAAATGCCTATAGTGTACTCCGTATAATTTAAGACACAAATCTTGGTGTAGAAGTAGTAGCTTAATTCTTAGCTAAATTACAAGGTGATACTCCCTCCGTCCCTCTGTATTTGTCCACTTTCATTTTTACACGCCATCTAATACACTTCTTTAATCCATTTTATCTTGTAATTTGTATATTAAAAAATTATGAAAATTATATATTAATAATCTATATGTAAGACAAATCAAACAAGATCACACATGACTATATTTAGGCTGACACATTGAGAGAATTTGATGAGTCAAAGTGCTTAGATGAACAATTCCAAAATTAAATGTGGACAAATACGAGGGAATACTCCGTATTTGTTCATTATCCACAAAACAGTCAAAAGGTTGTTGATTCCTCCCTCCGTCCATCCGATCCTCAACGACGGGATGGCATTACCGCTACTAGCCGGGACAGTTCCAATGGCGGCTCTCGCTCCAACTCTTTCCTTTTCGCGCTCCACCTCACTCGCCGGTTCTCCTCTTCCGATCAAGTCCTCGTCGTCTTCATCGCCTTCCTGCGTCACTTCTCCGGCCCTTCCACTGAGTACGCTCGATTTCCACGATTCTAACACGCTATTCTGTCCACGGGACAAGTAATTGTAATCTAAACGTGTTTATGGGAGTGAAATTGATCTTCATTGTTTTCGATTTTCAGTTTACTGTGGAAGAGGAGATAAGAAGACGGAAAAAGGCAAGCGTTTCAATCACTCGTTCGGGAATGTGAGTGTTATCTCTTTCTAGATCCATTCTTATTCGTTGATTTTCCCAGGCTTTGACGGAACACAAAATTTCAAAAGTTACTCTGTGAAATGTGAATTAGGTTTTTGAGTGTGTGTTTTGGATGCAGGCAAGACCGAAGGATAAGAAGAAGGGGAGAGGACCACCTAGGGTTTCAATGCCACCTTCGGCACCGAAGAAGGTTCCGTTCGACCTCGGTCAGGTGGTTGATATTGAAATTGATGATGAGTTTTAAGGTGATGATTTTTCTCATGATTCAGATCTGATTTCTTGAGTTTGAGTTTGTGTGTGTGTGTGTGTGTGTGTGGAACATATGATGTATGATCTTCAAGCTCACATTTTCCATGGGAGTTGATTAGCATTTCATCCCTTAGCTTTTGTTTACACTGCCCACAATGCTGAAACAAGGATGATATATGTGCATTTTCAGTCTGCAAGCTCAACTCCAATGGTGTTAGAAATTGTTTTTACTCTTGGAAAATTTACCTCTCTAATCCCCATGTTTGCCTATTGCTCACTCACTCTATATGACATTCACAGTCAACTGATTGCTATGACTTTTATGATATATGAAAAGTTGAATGAATGTAGACATATATCATGTCTACATTTGTTCTGCTTTTGATATATCACAAGAATTGTAATGATCGGTTAAATGTGAATGGATGGAGTATATTTGTATATGCATGCCAACAATACCATATTTATATTTTCATCCAACAATTCTAGGTTTGTTCCAACTAAACCTTATTGTCCCTGCTCCCTCTTCTGTTACTCCGAGCCCTCAATAGTCACTTCCAAAGAAAATTGAGATATTAGCGTAAAATGAGTTAAGCATAGGATTGTTGGTGTAGTTCATTTCAATATTGATGGCTTTACTATAGTGTTGGGGTGGTGCAATTAGCACTCATAATAAACATATACTACTTGGGTTGTGTACTTTGTGCTTCGAAAATCTGAATATGGTACCTTTGGTTTAGCTGTTTGAGGTATTTAGAACAGTTGTTCTTTTGTTTTTAAGGTGTTTGGTCGAACTGTTGTGATGTAAAATGGTTGGCAAATCAATTTCTAAAATAGGAAAATCTCTTGAGAAGAAAAAAATTAGGCATTAAAAAAAGGACTAATGGTCTAATGCCTAGTAAATAGTACGGGTAATAGAATTATTAGTCTTCAAAGAAAAATACTAGAGTATAAAGCTTTGTTGTTGTTGTTGTTGTTGTATACGGAGTATATGTTAATTTCACTAGTTTTTTATTATTGAAGATGTTCTTGTGACATTGAAACTCAATGTCATGAGATGACATTGGCCCCAATGTAAACTTTATGGTTCATATTGAAACCCTCCCGGTAAACTCTCACCCAGCCCCACCCGAACCCACCACTCCCTTCAATTGCACACCTCAATTTTAGTTGACTTTGAAGTCTACTTGTGGTGCAATTGAAGGGGATTGGGGGGGGGAGGGGAGGTTGGGCTGGAATGAGGGAATTTACACTGGCGTTCGAGGGAGGATAGGAACCCAATGAACCAAGAACCGTAGGTGTCCTAGTTACGGCCAATGTCATCCTATGACATTGACACTTAATATCTTCTGAACAATATTGTTTTATAATTACATTATAATATACATGCTTGGGCAATGAAGTAATATACTCAATACTTTTTATCTTACAAAAAAAAAGTGCATTTTTTGTCTCTCTCTCTCCTTTGTGTTACTCTCAAATCTCAATTTCACCTTCTTTAATAAGTGTGTCCAATTAAAAAAAGGTTTTTTTTTCGAATGGAGAAAGTATAACTGTATAATGTGTTAGTTCTGGTTCGGAACTTCAGATATTTGGTTTCTAAACTTTAAAAACAGTTGGTCAAGAATAATTTTAATCTGTATGGTGCTAAAATTGAAGTTAATGTACGTAATGGCATACATTTTTTAAAAAAATTCTTTCTTTTTCTCTTAGTGTTTGAGCCTTGAGGGCTTATATTCTTAGGAAAGCTACGCAAAAATTATTTGACTTATCTGATAAATTCACAGATGAAGACCCCATTCCCATCTTCATTTTTCCTCAAGATGGACAATTTTTTATTTATTAAAAGAGCTAGGAAAACCCAAACTTTTTGACTCATATTATTTCTTAAAGACATACGCAGATAACGACAATTGTCTGCGTGGCTACAAACAATAATTCTCTCTATTTGTTTTTGAAGTAGTATGATGTCAAAACTCAAAGTACTGTAAAACCAGTCGAATTCGTCTTGTAAACCTCAAGGAATATCATTTTAACAAAATCAGAATCATGTCCCTGAAACATTGTGCGAGTATGAAGTTACATGAATCTACATGAATGCTCCAGAAGGTGTAATGCGTGACACAATTCATAAATTTTCTCAAAACATTACTTCATTCGTACCAAAAAAATCTTTATTAAGAGTTTCTTAATTAAATTTTATTAATTTTGATTATAAATTATACGAGTAAAAATATGTATTTAATTCTAATTTAATTTTTGTATAATTAGTTTTTTAAAATAAAATTTTAATATTCAAAATTTTATAACGTTTATTTATTTTAAATAATACTCTGTATGTATAAATTAAATAATCAAAGTGTGTTACAGTTTAGCCAAAATGTCACTCTAATTTTGATAATAATATGGAGTAATAAATTGCTCCCTTCGAGTCAAAATGATATTGTGCGTTTGATTCTCTATGAGGTTAAAGAAAAATATTAAAAAGTGAAAACAATATGTATTTAAAATGATGAATTTTTAGCCACATTCTTTTCCTTATCATTTTGAGAGGGAGAGAATATATAATTCTAAATACTTAAGTGCAAATTTTTCAATTTTCTCAAAGTGCTTTCACTCTTAAGTTTTTTCATATCATTTTGTTTAAATATTGATATTAAAAAAAAGTTACAGATTTATGAATTACATGAAAAAATTTTCAAATAAGAAGTGTCAAAAGTATTTTATTTTATCAAATAAAATTTGAAAATGTATAAATAAATAAAAATTCACGTATTTGTTAAAAAAAGAAATGTGATATTTTTTTGAGATGGATCAAGTATTACCCTTTCTACAAGGGACATAGAAAAGGACCATGCTAGCTAGGGCGCCACCACATGAGTGTTATCATGGGTGCACCCATGTTTTACATAGAGAAACACAGACGATAATTGTCTGTACGGCACAAACAAATATCGTCTATGTTTGTCTGTGTGAAGCATGGGTGCACTCATGGTAGCACCCATGTGGTGACACCCTACATTTTTCTAGAAAATAACACTAGTGAACACTACACTTTTTGGTACGAGCGACTCAATTAAACATAGGGTCAAACAACATATAAAGTCATGTAAACATACTCCTTCCGTCCCAAAATATTTGCCACATTTGTTTTTTCAACCGTCGCGGGAATTTTTGTTTATTTCTACGTTTTCATTGCTTATTTGATAAAATAAAATATTCTTGACACCTCTTATTTCGAAGAACTTTTCATGTAGTTTTTTGATATGTAATTTTTATTTTTTATCTCTTTACCAATATGTAAATAAAATGAATTGAAAAAACTTGATATTTTACCTCGGTAATAGAAATGTGACAAATAATTTGGGACGGAGGAAATATTAGGGAGTAGTCCACAAAAATTCAATCGGTCCAGTTTGCGGCTCCCAGTATATATACGCCCATGATGACGGCCACGACCCGTTTTGACTCTTGCAGACTAGTTCTGGGTGCAGTGGGCCATTTTCATTCCATTGAGAAGAAATTTCGCACTCCCGCGATATGACGTCATCTTACCATGGCTCCTTCGATCAGCCCGCCGGTGCCGGTGGCTTCTCCTACCCTCCGCTCTCCACGCAGCGGTTCGACACCTTCCCGAATTTCGCAGATTCCGAATCCGGCAGTTATCCCGCCGCTGGAGACGACTCGCCGTTCTTCGTTCCCCAACACGTTCCGTCTCCACCGCCAATCTACTCCTCAGGAGGGGGATTAGGCTCCGATCCGGCTGATTTCTCCACGCTCCAGGATGAGAAGCCGTTCGACGATGGTTTTCCGGCATCCAATGGCCCGATTCTGCCCCCGCCATCGGAAATACAGGAGGAGGGTTTTGCTCTCAGGGAATGGAGAAGGTTAATCGTTTCTACAGTTCAAATTTGATTTATTGATTTTATTCCGGTGTGTTTGAATGATTTGGTCACTGATCTGTCACACATTGGCATCCGTTTCAGTCTTAGATTTCTTTTCTATGTCTGTTACTGCTCCCTATTAGTTTTCAGAACAAATTTGCCATCCTTCTTTATGCAAAATTTGAATTTGTTCTCTTTTTCTTTTTTGAATTGTACCAGTCTGTTTATAGTGTATGTATGATCTTCCATTTTCATAGTTGTGTGTTTGCAAAAGAAAATGGAGTATGACAATGGAATTAGTGGAGATTATATATTCGTGGCTTTTTTGTTCATGAACCTTGAATGCTGTTTAAAGACTTCAAGAAAGAAGAAGATGAAGAAGAAAGACTTACTGGTTTTGATCAGTTGAGTGATTTAAATTATTGCAGATATTTCAGTGTGAAACATAAATTTGTATTATGCAAATTAACACCTCTTTTCCCAGAAATGAATTTCAGTTTCTATTATTGCTGATCATGTTGTTTATCTGACTCTATTCATCCAATGAAGGAATACAAAAATGGTTCTGATGTTTTCCTATTCTCCCCAGACCCTACTGTTGTGGGATTCACCTGGGTTGTTGTTGTTGTTGTTTTCCTATTCTCTCAATGCCAATTTTAATTTGTGTTTTCCTTTCTAAGTGTGAACATGCCAATAGAATTAAAAGTGATATAAGATCAAAATTGCACCTTTATATAAGAGCATTTGTATTATTTGAAATACTCCGTATGATTTTTTCAGACAAAATGCTATTCAACTAGAGGAGAAGGAGAAGAGGGAGAAAGCGTTGTTGGGCCAAATCATTGATGAAGCTGATTCCTATAAAGTTCAGTTTTACAAGAAGAGACAACTTGCAATGGAAGCAAACAAGGCTGCATGCCTGGAGAAGGAGAGAGTAAGATTACAGATTTCTTCTGCTAAAGTTCTTCAATTTACTCGGCTATGGTCCTATAGTTTTTGCATCAATAGAAGAAACAAGCTCATTATTTATGTGTCTTGTAGTCCCTTTGCTTTGTCATCCATATCGGTTCTTAGCTTTCATTCTAGACTGTGTCTTTTTTTCCTCTTGAGTTCGTTACAGTTTCCTCTTCCCCTCTACTTGCTTCATGCCACATGATTTTTTTATATTGGCGATTCAAATTTTTAGGTTCATTTAGGGCCTGTTTGGAACTTGGAAAATGTTGGGGGATTATATTGTGAGGAAAATAAAGAGTAAGGAAATAAGAATATGGGGAAAATAAAAGAAATGCTTTAAGTTCAACAACATCAACAAACCCAATAGAATCCCACAAAAATGCTTCAAGTTCAATAAAGCAATTTTAGTTTCTTTTCTTTTAAAGTCATTTGATTTAACATTTAAATAATTCTATATGTAAAAGCTTAAAAGTTTATTCCAATTGGATTTCCCATTCCCTACTATTTTACTAGTTCCAAACATAGTCTCAGTTTCAATCCTGCAATCTTAAAAAAAAAACGGTGGCTGTCACTTACCTCAATCTTGTCGTTTTATTTCAGTTATTTATTGCCAGACATGAGAAGTTGCACGCTGATGCGGACAAACACTATTGGAAGGCGATTGCAGAGCTAATTCCTAATGAAGTTCCAACTATGGAAAAGAAAGGGAAAAAGAGTCAAGAAAAGAACCCTGCTGTTGCCATTACTATCAAAGGTCCGAAACCAGGGAAACCCACAGAGCTGTCAAGAATGCGGCAGATAGTATTAAAGCTTAAACATAACACACCTCCACACCTAATGCTGGCACCACCCACCACCACCACCAAAGATGCAAAATCCGGTACTGCTTTGCCCATTGCTATCAACCCTATCGCTGTTGCTTGATTGCAGAATTATGTTTAAAATACTTGAAAACAATATACGAGTGCATCGTTTTTCATTGTTTTGAACGGGTATGATTTCGGGTTGAGTTTATGCCATCTGTTATTTATATAAATGTCAGAAACTGGTTCTTGCAGATTGTATAAGATGATACTACGGGGTAATATATTTCATCTTAAGGTTTGGAAAAATAAAAAAAATACCCTGCCATCTCTGCGGTAGTAAAGAGTTGACAATAATGTTTGGTATACATTACCAAACGTTTTAGTACATTACGCGATTGATTGAGAATGTTTCAGAGAATTGTTTTCTCCTAGTTTTCCTTCTAATGAATACATATATACTCACATTTGCACATTGATCTGTACATAAGTAAACAACCCCCCCCCCCCCCAAAACTACTCAATACGATATATATTCTGCAACAGAATGACCCAAAGTATTATCCATCATCAATACGAGCATGGTGAATTTGAGAATCACCTTTATTAATGAGATTCTCTGCTCTGGACCCATCAGTCCCGTGGCTAACACTTTCTGCTTTACTTTGAGCCCGTCCTGAACTTGTTCTGTACGATGGTGTTGATGATGCTGGAATTTGAGTCATCAATGGCTTTATGTTACTCGTTGGAAGGCTTCGCTTAATATCCTGTCTCAGACAATGAAGTCAAGAATGAATCAAAGCAAATAAGATGGAGATTTTTTTTAAAAAATCATGTACATACCATGTGCCTCATAGCCATATCCAAAGATTTTTTCGAGATTGTCCTACCAAGTCCGGAGCTGGAAGAAGAATGTCTGCTACTATTGTTGTCTTGCTTCGGCGGGGCCAGTTTCTGCATACTTACCACTCTCTCAACCATCTTAGTTCCAACTGCAGCGGGGCTAGCCTTAATGTTAGCTTTGGCGTGTAAGCAACTCATATTTGAGGGAGGAACAGATCTTCCACCGCTGCTATGGATAAATTGATTAGGAGATGGAAGGCCTCTCCTCGGAGAACACGATTGACGCCTAGACCCTCTTACAGAAGAAGGGGGTTCAGCATGTGCTCCGGATCTACCCCTAGTGGGGGTAGATCCTGGCTGCTTGTCTGGTAGTGATGGTGTCATAGAAGTAGCATCAAGAGAGTTACGCAAGGGAGTAGGGGGCCTTGGCGATCTCTGTTTTGTAGCTAGAGAAGTAGAATGTTGGGGGTGGAGATTTTGCGTTGTCTTTTTCGGCTGTAAAGTTAGGGTTGAATTCCTTGGTGTTGACTTAGGTTGAGCATGAATAATAGATGGCCTCATAGTTGGCGTGGAGGAGGACCTCGTTTTGTGTTGCTGATTGGTTGAATGCAATGTGGCACTGGATGATGATAGTATAGGGCTCACTCTAGTTGATGATCGTTTCAATGGTGTGCTTGGTGTTGGTTTAGACGTCAATGATGATGAGGTCGACGCTGACATGGATTTGCTCGAATACAGTTTCCCACTTGAGGTTGAATGTTTTGATCTGCTTGAAGATGTGGAGGGCGTTCGGCCACCAGCTGCACTTGAAATGTTTAACTGTGGAGATCTTGGGTCTTTAGTTGCGAAGCTGCTTCTTCTTGCACTGGACTGATAGGGATCTGATAGCTATACACACACACACACAGAGAGAGAGAGAGAGAGAGAGAGAGAGCAGAGCAGAGCAGAGATAACAATAAGCTTAATCATTTAGGACTTAAGAGAGAGCAAGCAATAATTTGGGTAATGCCTAATAATCCCATTTGGCCTTTTTCCCATTTTTCTCTGCATCCAAGATTTTTATAAATACAAAAACCGTCTTAAAAAAGATCGGTTGTTCCAATTCCATTATGAGTCCAACCCCCATTACAAACGAATTCAATATGATACACACACTTAGGGTTCGGATGGTACAAAGGTGATGCGGAGAAGAAGCAAGAATATCTTACCTTGCGCGTTTGCACAGGTGCAAAGGTTTCAGGTGTTCCCAACAGATTTTCTGTTACTGTTTCTGCTGACTCCAACTCCAATGAAGGGAAAAGTGGAGTATTAGGAGGTGACATAAGCCTGCAGCAATGAAAAAGACTCATGTCCAAATAGACCATAAGGCATTCCATGTTATCATTCACAACATAAGTCTGGGTCATTTGGATCAAAGGGAGTGTTACAAAATGCTTGAACAGATTTTTTTATATTCATTTGTGTTTTGCATATTATTAGCAAATACTTCATAAATAAGTCCAGCTTCCTTTTATAAATGACCCCAAATTAAGCTCCCATTCTTCCAAAGGACGACTTTATAAGATGAATAATACTCCGTATATTATTACTCCTACTTTATTAACATATAATAATGAGGCAGAAGCATATTCGGAAAGTCAACAAATAAGAGTGCCTAGACTAAATGTGTGCGTATTTAAAAGTGGGAATTTAATTATGAGATGGATGGAACAATTTCCTTTCTTGCATTTTTGTCCATTTTGCAAAACCAAGATATAGCAGTTGCACTAAAAAAGACAGATTGAACAGTTTGGCTTTAATGTTCCAGTAGAGAGTTAAGCTAAGCCAGCAAAAGCCTTAAGTATGAGTGCAAAGATGAGAGTAACACAGAGATTTATTACCATTCATAGTCATTTTTATCAGTTTCTGCACTCAGCAAATCATCAGCATCAATCTCCAAAGCAGCAGCAGCCGACGCAATACTGAATCTTGGAGAGCTTCCAGCTGTTGATCCTGCAAGAAAAAATGTACTGTTTTGAATTGTAAAATGAAAAAAAACCTAAATACTATAAAAACATCAGGCAATACTATATTGGTAATTAGGCAAGTGTACAGCATGGTCAACAATGGTGCTATTTTCTAACATAAGCCAGATTACTAAAAATGGAATTGTCCGGGTGTAGCTTAGCTGACAAAGAAGGAACACAAAAGAGATAATGCACGAGTTTAACGGTGCGATTATAGCTCAATTTGAAGTTCACGTTTTTTATACTTAAAATGGGAATTGATACAAAGAGAAAAGACAACAACATGAAGAGTCATCAACCAGCAACACAACAGACTAGAACAATATTGAAATCTAAGGGCAAAAAAGCATTTGGTAACTTCTATTTCAGCCCTTAAAAATTAAGCCAGCCAAAACTGGGCCTTACATACCAAGAGGAGCATCAAACACATCAGAATTCTGAAGCAGGAGAAGATCGTCTTCCCGCGTGCGCATTTCAAAGAACAATGCTAGCTCATCTTCCTTCTCAGAGTTCCAAAGACTCCCCATTTTCCAAGCCCTTAAAAACTCCGCAATCACGAACCCTAAACCCTCCTATTTGGCGTCCACATTGCGAGGCAACAAGCCTCTCCTTCCTCCCTGCAAAACCCTAGCCTTTTCTTTCAACCCTCAGATTACAGAGGAAACCAAGCCGTTTCTCCTCTGGAAATCAGAAATCAATGTCCATTGATCGGAAATCCGGCTCCTGCAGTCAGAATTTCCGACCTGAAGAAACAAAAAAAAGATGGAAATCAAAACGGCAGTTCGAGATTTTGAAAAAAAACTCCGGGAGAGAAATCAAAATCTAGGGTTGAAATGTGCGATAAATGTGTGTTCCGTTGTTGAGAACAATAGTGATATATACATAAATGCAAGCATAAAAACAGTGAAATCGCAGTATAGATGGATTAGATAGATTCAAACGGGCGCCATTGTTGAGAAAATGAAGCAGAAATTCACCTGAACCAAGCTCACCATCAGAGAGGGAGAGGGAGGGGAATGTGAATTAATGTTTGGAGAGAGAGAGGGACACAAAGAACGGCAATTACGTTGCTCTAACGTTAGGCCGTTAGGGCAAATTTATTTTTGATTAAATTCTTAAAACAGTTCGTATTTAATATTTATGTATTCTTTTAAATTAGTTCTAAAATGTTTTGACAACCAAAAGAATATGTAGTATTTGTTAATTGAAAATAATGTTTAGCATAGTTTCTCGATTAAGGTCTATTAGAATGTCATAACAACTTCTAACAATTTTCTCAAAGTGATCCATTCTAATTTATTTTTTTCAAAATAAAAACTCATTAAAATTAAATCACGCTAACTTCATAATCACCGAACTCAATGTTATGTAAATATGTAACTTATATATGTGCTTTATTTTCATGAAAAATTACTATTCCCTCCGTCCCGCTATATTCGTCCAGTTTTGACTTTTGAAACTGTTCATCTAAGCAGTTTGACTCATCAAATTCTCTCAATGTGTAAGCCTAAATATAGTCATGTGTGATCTTGTTTGATTTGTCTTAACATATAGATTATTAATATATAATTTCTATAATTTTTTAATATGCAAATTACAAGATAAAATGGATTAAAGAAGTGTATTGGATGGTGTGCAAAAATGAAAGTGGACAAATACTCTGGGACGGAGGTAGTACAAAGCAATTCAAATCTCATTTCATAATATTTCTTTTGTCCAAAAATAAATTTCATGTTAACGGAAAAGACTAATTCTTAGTTATACTCCGTATTTATTTGAAAATAATTTTGGTCAAGAATCGTAAATCAAAGAAAAAGTATTATTTCAGACTAATGAAACTGTTTATTGAATAATTTATTTATATGATATTCTATTAAATAATTTTAAAAAACCTAAAAGGTTTACTTTCAAGATTATTAATTAATTATCTTTATTATATTATCATCCAATAAAACTTGACATTATTTTTCTCTATTTGATGAGTTTTTATTTCAAAATTGTACTAATCTGTGAAAACATCCAATTAAAATGACAACTTTGAGAAATTAGTATAAGTTTTAATGTCATCTTTATGGCTCTTAGTCTTGAGACTAAACTGAACATTATTTTCAATTAACAAATACCATCTTGGTAATTAATTTATCTTGGGAGCTAAATCAGAAAAACGCATAGTTATTAAGTACTCCGATCCGTACCTTTTTGAGAATTTACTCTTTAAAAAAATGGGAGTTGTACTAAGTGCGATACGATTTTGGTTCCCAAGATGTAAGGGATGACGACTATTACAGCATCCACGGCCTTTTTGGGTCGATTTAATTCTAGACCGATTCAGATGACTAGTTTCGGTATTTTTTAACTTTAATTTAAGATTGTATTTAAATTTAAAAAATGTGTACATTTATAAAATGAAGTAATCAATTAAAATAAAATTCAAGTTTAAATGTATTGAGTTAATTAACTTTAGACTCTAGTGTCACCACTTAACTTGTGATGTTTAGAGACAATAGGCCAATAGGGTCCAGTACTTTTGCATCACAATTTTCAAATAACTTTGAAAAGAATATGAATAAAGATTTAGCTAAAAGTAAAACATAGAAAATTTATTAAAATATAAAATTCATATTTCTATTCTCAAAATAAGCTAGAGTTACAATATCAATAATATTAAGTATAAAATATACAAAAAGACTATGGAATGCCAATATATAGCTATGCTACATTATTGTCGCGGTGCAAACTCAAATTTTTTTAAGATACGGAGTATAAAGNAGTATTAGACTCTTGTTTTGGGTTATTTCTTTTTTAAAAAAGCTTGAAAATACTTTTACACGGTTACATTTAAAAAATTTTAAATTTAAACGAACTCGTTAGAGTAAAAAATATATCAGTCTTGAGATTTTTATTGAGTTGGATCTTTAACATAGTATCAGAGCTTTGATAACCAAGAGATCACAATTTTAAATCTCACTGTCACCTAGTTAAAAAAAGGATTTTCACGTGCAAGCTAAGATTGAGAAAAATGAATAAATCTCATATGCACGTGATTGGCGCATCAAAGTATAAAAATATATCCACCACAAACAGTAGGGTAAAGTCCGGAAGCCTCAGCACTGGGGCCGACACCATGGCCTGCTTGAGGTGTGCGAACGCTGTGGCGGCTCCATCTGTCCATCGGAAGGCATCCTTTTTAACATGTCCGTGAGGGGCGCAGCGAGGTGGGAGTATTGGCGAACAAACCGTCTGTAGTATCCGGTGAGGCCCAAGAACCCACGCAATTGCTTCAACGACGTCGGCTCCGGCCAATTGACCATGGCTTCAATTTTCTTTCCATCAGCCCGTAGTTCCCCGTTGGAGATAATATGTCCCAAATAATCAATGGAATCCTGACAAAAAGAGCATTTGGATTGTTTAACAAAAAAATGATTAGCACGGAGCAAGTCTAAGACCTGCGTCAGATACTTTCGCAGGGCCCCGGAAAATAACTTATTCATGCAAGCCTGAAAGGTAGACGGGGCATTGGTTAACCCGAACGGCATAACCAGGAATTCGTAATGGCCTTCATGGGTACGGAAAGCCGTTTTATAAATATCCTTTTCGGCCATGCGAATCTGGTGATAGCCGGAGCGTAAATCCAATTTGGTGAAGTGACGCGCGGCCCCAAGCTCATCAAAAAGCTCGTCGGCAGTAGGAATTGGGAAGTGATCTGGTACAGTGACGGCATTCAACGCCCGGTAGTCCACACAAAACCGGAAAGACCCATCCTTCTTTTTGACCAACAAAACTGGGGATGAGAACGGGCTTCGACTCGGGCGAATGAGTCCCTCCTTGGTCATCTCCTGTACGAGCCTTTCAATTTCCGTTTTCTGAAAATGTGGGTAGCGGTACGGACGGACATTAACGGGAGCACTGCCTGGTTGGAGGAAAATACGATGATCCGCCGTACGGTGGGGTGGCAGACCGTGGGGTATGGCAAAAACCTCAGCATAGTTGTGGAGTACTTCGGCGATGGCAGGGCAGAGAGCTAACTCACGTGGTTTTGCAGCAGCTGTGGGTGAATCCTCCGGCGTCAGAGCAAGCAGTTCATAACATTCAAGAATGGCTTCATGAGATTGCATAGTTTGGAACATGGCCAGGGACACTGGTTTCGGTGTGGGGCTGCTGCCCTGGAGTGTAATGACCTTGCCATCCCATGTGAACTCCATAGTTAACTGGGCGAAATCTTGGGCAACTTTTCCGAGCTGCTGGAGCCATTGCACCCCCAAGACGAGATCTTGTCCATGAATAGAGAGAATATAAAGGTCCACCACAAAGGCCGTGTCTTGCAAGAAGAGCTGGACGGCCAAACATTGAGCGGTACATGGCATGGGTAACTGCAGGCGAGTCACCACCTCGGGGTGGATGAAATTGTGCGTACTACCCCCATCAATGAGAACACGCACCTCCTTTGAACCAATGCGTCCCGGAAGCCGTAGGGATCGTGGGGCTGTGAGGCCCATGAAGTTATTAAGACTTGAGATATCGGCCTCCACAACGAGTTCATCCGGCGTAGGACCTGGGTCGTCGACGTCACCGGGGTCGTCGTCACACAACAAGAGAAAACGCCCACAGCTATGAGTGCGGGACCACTTCTGATCACAATTATAGCAAAGGCCCTTCTCAAGCCGCTCGGCCCGGGTGAGACGTCGAATGGTGTAGGGCATCTTGCTTTCGGCTAGGGCCTTAGTAGGTGTCGGTAGAAGGGGTGTGGTGGGTGCGGCCCGTAACCCCGGACCCGTTCCGCGAGATGGGGTGTAACTGCTCCCCCCATATGGGCGTTGTGAGATGGCGGAAACGAGGGCAGTGTGCTTGGCCTCCAGTTCCCTGGCCAAGGCAAAAGAATCAGACAGAGTCTCGGGTTTGAGCAATCCAATCTCCTGTTGAAGGTGTGATCGCAGCCCGGCATGAAACAAGGAGATCAAGATATCCTCCCCGGCACCGGTGACATGTTGTAATAATTTCTCGAACTCACCCTGATACTCCATGACGGTACCCCTCTGGCGCAGCTTTGCTAATTGACCCAGATAATCCACGTAGTGTTGTGAATCGAAACGGAGTTTGAACTTGTCGACGAAGTCCTCCCAGCCGGCCAATAAGTTATTGGTCCGACGCCAAGGGAACCAGTCCGCGGCCGCGCCCTCTAACATCAAAGCAACACATCGTAATCGCTCCTCCGGTGGTGTGTCATAAAACTGAAAGTACTCCTGCACTTTGTAAAGCCAACGTAGCGGATCGGAACCGTCGCATTTAGGAGGCTCCAATTTTGGTTTAGGGACATACCCGGCGTTTTGTTTCGCAGGAGTATCGCACTCCCTGCGGTTGTCCTTCTGCTGGTCGTGCGTGCTGGGCGACCCACTGCTTGCGAGAAGGAGGGCTTCTAAACGAGAGAATCGCAATTCCATATCCCGTTGCATGTGCGCCACCGATTGACGGAGTGCGGCAACTTCCTCACCCTGGGTTACTTCGGCTGACATGATAACTCAATGGAAGCACCAGTTGATACGAGTTGTATCGAAATAGAGAAGACTTCGAGCGTCTCCAAGCTCTAGAACCGTACGCCCAAGGTGAAGAGAGCTAGGGTTTAGTTAATACTTCTTGTTATTCATTAAGGAAGAATACCTTCCCTATTTATAGGAGACAAAGAAGCATTAATCCTAATTAAACTATGTTTGCTATCCTGACGGTTCAAGAAAAGCGACGAGGTAAAGAACCGTAAAGAAACCCTCGAAGGAGCATTTAATTTGCTCACCTAATGAAAATCTAAAATACAATAAAGATAATTAAAGTATTATTAATTTAAGATGCATAATCCTCCTGCCATGCGGGAGGTCTTCTCGGCCTAGAACTCCTTCGAACACATGTCTCTGAACCACCCGTCTCAGTCTCCTCATGCCATCCGTTTCCTTCCTCGGGTAGGAACTCCGTCTCTGATCCCTCGTGCAGCCCACTGCCACCATCGGTTGGCAGCTCTTGCTCCATAGGCTCATGCATAACAATATCTTAGGCCTACAACCACAAATTTGCGTTTTTGATTGAATTAGTTCTTTGTGAGTCTGTTAGACAATGTTCATCAACTCAGCCGCATAGAGGTAGTAAGACTTAGACTTTTTTATTTTTGAAAGTATATTATAGAGGTAGTAAGACTTGACTTTTTTATGTCTACCAGCTTACACATCAACTTGCACACCACCTCCATCTTCTCCCACGATACAATTCCACTAGACCACTACACATTTTTTATCTAAAAAAATGTTTGGGTATACCAACAATTTGTACTCCAAATTATATGATGCCTTTATATTTACGATCAAAAATATGGAAATTTAACTCTATATAGTACGGAGTACTATTTTTCATTTATTTATTATTTATTTACACTTTAAAATCTATTTAGCATATAGCATATTTGTTTAAGATTTTATGAACGTATTATAAAGATTTCAAACGACATGTACCCGCTTACAAACAGAATGATCACAAATTTCACAAACTTACCATTTATGATTTAAATTTTCATTTTAAAATTATTCTAGACTATTTAAAAGTTTTTTTTGAAATTTATAAATAGTAAGTTTATGAAGTTTGTAACTGTTTTGTTTGTGAATCTAGCATTTCTCAATTAGAAAATACTTGATTTACAAACACAATGATCACAAACTTACTACTACCTTCGTCCAAGAGTATTTGTCCACTTTCATTTTTACACACCATCCAATACACTTCTTTAATCTATTTTATCTTGTAATTTGTATATTAAAAAATTAAAGAAATTATATATTAATAATCTATATGTTAAGACAAATCAAACAAGATCACACATGACTATATTTAGACTTACACATTGAGAGAATTTGATGAGTCAAAGTGCTTAGATGAACAGTTCCAAAAGTTAAAACTTGATGAATACTTCGGGACGGGGGGAGAATTTGTGAAATTTAATAAAAAAATAATAGTTTAAAATAATTTTAATTTATGAGAATTTGCACTAAGGTAATTCTCATAAATAAAAAAAATTGGTATATCCATTTAAAAAATCATTTGCTTATGAATGAATATAAAAATATTTCTATTTATTTATGGATGATTAAAAAACGCTTTCCATATATAATATAATAAAAATTATTGGTCAATATTTCTCCTTCATTTAAATAAAAAATGATTTTATGTATGGTAAATATAATACTACATATTTTTTGAATGCTATTCATACATATTGTATAACAATTATAATAATTGATAATAATAATAATAATAATAATAATAATAATAATAAATTGTGTTTATGCCCCTATATATAGTAAATTTTTTTATGTATGGTACGTAAATGTATTCCTACATTATATGGAGTACTTATGTTTCCATATATAAAATTATACTCCGTATTATAATGTTATAATGAAGGGAACACACAACATTTCCATATAACACACAAAGAATAAGAGAAACACACAAAATTTCCATTTATAATGCAACGTTAATGGGCAGAAAAAGTTGGTCAAAATTTTCTCAGCTTTTTAATAAGTATAGATATAGATTTGTCTAGTTTAACCTTGTTCGTCAACTTAATAAATTTTGAGTTCCAATTACTCTATGTATTAGTGTGTATATATATATATATATATGTATGTATGTATGTATGTATGTATGTATGTATACTACCTTCGTCTCACTCTCTTTGGAGTCTTTGTCCATTTTTTACTTTTAGAACTGTTCATCTAAGCACTTTGACTCATCAAATTTTCTCAATGTGTAAGCCTAAATATAGTCATGTGTGAAAGAAGAGAGTGGGACGGAGGGAATATATATATATATATATATATATATATATATATATATATATATATATATATATTTGAAACGATAAAATGGATATATCTAAACCCACTCGTGTGGTTCAGACCACTCCATTATCTATAATTGTTCATTCTCTACCTTCAAACCAATCAGCACATAAAGACAAGAGTGAAACTTGAATATATACGACACAGATCCCACGTGTACTTCCATTTTCATACTCCCTCCGTCCCCAATTTGATTACAAATTGCGGGTTACGGAGTAAAATTTCCTACTTTTTGAAATCATTTTATTTACAAATTGGTATATCAATAAGATATAAAAATTACATATTAAAAAACTACGTGAAAAGTTCTACAAAACAAGAGGTGACAAGAATATTTTATTTTATCAAATACTTAATGAAATCACGTAAACAAACAAAAGTTATCGAGAGGAGAGAAAAAAAATTGTAATCCATTTAAGGACGGAGGGAGTATCTCAATCATCAATTATTTCATCATTCATTCAATTCCATGTTTTCCTTATTTTATTAATTTGTAAATTTGTGTATTTTGTAAATTATTTGTATGTGAACTTTGTATAAGTTTATGTATTTCGTGAATATTTTGTTCTAACTCTAGCATTATTCTTAGACATTTTTTAAATAGTGTGGGGGGGGAATGAGAGTAATATTTACTTGAATGATACTCTGCTTGACTACTAGAGTAATACATTGGAAAACAACATATGTTTTAGTACTATTTGTACAAATTTTACTTGCTTTTATGTACCTCCAAAGTGTCTTGTACTATTGGGATTCGATAACTATATATATTTGGTCATCTTTTTTCTCTTTTTCCAGTGGAGAGGAGTTTGCTACCCAACAAATTTGACGATAGATAATCACAAAATAGAAGGAATATATTTATTAGAAATATTTTATTTTTTGTTAAATAAACAAAAAAATTGCAAATTAAATGTTGTTCGTATATGGTATATTGTGTATATTACGGAATACGGAGTATATAATTAAATTTCTCTAGCATCATCTCAATATAAAAAGTTGGAACCACATCCTTTAATCATTGGATCTACTTATAAAATGAGCACCATGCTACACTTACACCAAAAAGTGTACCCAAAAGTTACACCAATGATATATACGGACTTACCGAGTATATATTAACATTTTGATGTTCACACTGACACAAAATACTTGTGCATTATTGAAAATCTACAATAACATTTTGTGTCTATGTGAACTATTAGCCTATCATTACACCGTTACAAAATATAGGCGCAACGGGTACAAATAGCTTAATCCTAAAATGAAATAAGGAGTAAAATAATAGAACGATCTAAAAATAATTTATTCATTAAAATAAAGGGCAAACTACAAATAAATTATTGTTTAATCAAAATATTACTCCGTAGCTTACACGTAGTTTCTTAAATACGAAAAGAATTAAATATATCCATAATTTTGTTTTTCATCTTTTCGCTTTAACTTATACACAATTAAAGAATAACATATTAACCCCCAAATACTTTTTTTGCTCCATAAAAAATATTAATGCCAAAAAGTGTCACACCCGGCGGAGGATAGATGGTGAAGGCAAGTGACAATCCCATTAAATACTACTTCTGTCTCAGAATATTTGTTCAGTTTTGACTTTTCGATTAATCATTTTTAATCTTTGACTTTTAATTAAATAAAATATATATTATATACTCTTGCGTCCCGGAGTATTCGTCCAGTTTTGACTTTTGGAACTGTTCATCTAAGCACTTTGACTCATCAAATTCTCTCAATGTGTAAGCCAAAATATAGTCATGTGTGAATGTGTGATCTTGTTTGATTTGTCTTAATATATAGATTATTAATATATAATTTCTATAATTTTTTAATATAAAAATAACAAGATAAAATAGATTAAAGAAGTGTATTGGATAGTGTGTAAAAATAAAAGTGGACAAATACTCTGGGACGGAGGTAGTATTAATTAAATAGAATAATATTTTGATAGTATATAATATAAAAAATCTAATAAATCAATTTTGGTATCAATATCTAATATCGTCAAATATTTCTAGTAATTTTAAAATGAACCAGACAAGACATTGTTAATTCAACGATTAATTCTTCCTACATTTGGATATATTGTACCATGTTGCGTTTAACAAAAAATACGAGGTTGCGATCAATGATTTATGAGTACCAATGTAGTTTATGAAGTTTCCAAAATTTAATTTGTAATTCATTTGATAATCATGTTTTAAAGCGTTATATTATTTTATTATATACTCCGTAGTCTATTTCTATTCTTCAATAATGACAAATATTAAGTGATAGCGTAAATATGAGTCGTAAAACACACAGGTGTGATACTAGTGGGTCTTAAATGACAAGCCTACAAAAAAGCTTATGAGACAGCGAGAAAGGATATCGAGGGGGCGTCGCGCCTCACTCCCATTGCAGGAGGGGAACCGCGCTTTCCGTCGCGGCGCGCGCCCGACTTCTTGCGCAGAGCTGGTCTTCATTCTTGGCGCAAAAACGTGGCGGCCCCCCTTTCTTCATCTTCTTCTTCCGATTCCTTTTTCTTCTTCCTCCTCGATTTTTTTTCTTTTTCTTTTTCTTCTGAACGGGATTCCTTGACCGACTTTTTTTCTTAATTTTCTCTTAATCTGTTTTCTCCTTTCACTTGTTTTATTTCAATTTATTTTTTTAATTCCAATAATTAATATTTAATTAATGTTAATATTTGTATTTATTTTTATTAATTTTTAATTCATTACTTTTATTTTATTTATTATTATTTATCTATTTTTATTAATGAATAAATATTTGTATTAAATTTATATAATTTTTGAACTAAAAATAATATATATTGTAAAAGAAAAGGGAATGCGGGCTTTCAGCCGATATCATTGCAAGATTTTAGGTGAGGCAAAAAGTTAGTGGAATGCTGATGTGACAGAAGTTATGGCAAGGCGGATTTTGGAATCATTGTTTATGATCTAATTGCCTTATTTTCTTAAATTTAACACAATGTATCCTAGTTACTTTCTTCACCATACACATTTTAACATTTTGCAAATTCGACTTGTTTCAATTGATATCGTTTCGCCTTTATAAAACTTCTATAATTCTTCTCCAAAAGTCAAAACAAAAAAATATTTATGATATAGAAGAAGTTTAAAATAAATCCTAAATTTTAAATCATTAAATAAAATTTGACATTATATGTTGGTGATCTTTTCACATCATTTAACATTATCGAGAGTAAGTTGTGTACAATATTTTTGTCTAAAAGTTTTGATTAACTCTTTCCATCCTAAAATAATCTTCCCAGTTCGGCTTATAAGGTTTGACTGAAATTATTTTCAATTTAATTTATTTTATTTTAGAATAAAATTTAAAAATAAAAATGGTATATTTTAAAACTACGTCAAAAAGTCTAAAAAACAAGAGATAACATGACTATGTTATTGTATCATAAAAATAATGAAAATATGTATTAAAAAAGAGAAATTTAACTAAATAGGACTAAAACATAATGACTTTTCCAATATAGCACCATATATTTTTATTTCCCAATGTAGGACCTTTGGTCATTATCAAGTAGTCATTATTCAACTAAATGTCAATCATTACTGGACATTATTCCTCTCATTAGGTCATTATTAAATTCTATTTAGGGAATAAAAAAGTTTAAGTCATACATTAAGAAAGTCATTATGCTTTAGTTTTATTTAGTGCAAATTTTACACAAAAATGATTAGTACCCAATTTTCAAACGCACCAATCTGTATAAATTTACGACAGGCATATATAGATACAGCTACTAAAACACTCATATACTAAAAATTCTCCCCCATGGAATTCTTCAATCTCCTTTTACTCTCTTTTCCGCCCTGTCTTCTCCTCTCACTCCTCCTCCTGCTGCGGCGGCGCCGGTTAGATCTCGGGAAGGGACGCCGCCTCCCGCCGGGCAGCCTCGGGCTGCCCTTCATCGGGGAGACGCTCCAGCTCATCTCCGCATACAGGACGGAGAACCCGGAGCCGTTCGTGGACGAGAGGGTGTCCCGGTACGGCGCCGTTTTCACGACGCACATATTCGGGGAGCCGACGGTTTTCTCGGTCGACCCGGAGGTGAACCGGTTCGTGCTCCAGAACGAGGGCCGGCTCTTCGAGGCGAGTTACCCCGGTTCGATATCGAACTTGCTGGGGAGGTATTCGCTGGTTCTGATGAGCGGGAGCCTTCACAAAAGGATGCACTCGTTGACCATGAGCTTCGTCAACTCCTCCGCCATGAAAGAGTATTTGCTGCTTGATATTGACCGGTTGGTCCGGTTGAATATGGATTCCTGGACCGGCCGGATCCTCCTCACCGAGGAGACCAAGAAGGTATATTCTTTAATTTATTACCACACATTTATTAATTAACTAATTAGTTTCGTGATTGAAATTACTAGGTGGATCTTACTAAAAAAGATTATTACTTTTTAGGTGGATCTTACGCATCCTTTCCATCATTAGATCATTTTTCATTTTCTTGTCTATGTAAAAAAATGTTTTTCCTCTCTACCATAAAACTTTTCAAAATTAAATTATAGTGCTTTTTAAAAATGTCTAGTTTTCTTATTTTTTAAATTTTTTTAAATTTATAATCCCTCTGTCCACAAATAAACTTTACATTACGCGTTACGATGTTTGACTGAAGTTATTTTCAAATCATTTTATATGAAAAATGGTGTGGAATTGAAAAATAAAAATTACATATTAAAAAACTATATCAAAAGATTTACAAAACTAGAGGTGACATGACTATATTATTTTATCAAATGGGTGATAAAAATAGGCCAACAAAGTGAATAAAGTTTGACCCTGTGAATAGTGAACGTAAAGTTTATTTGTGGACGGAAGGAGTAATAACTTAGGATATGATGTACTCGGTATATGATAGATTAATTATAAATAAAAAATTATACCAACCTTACACATTTTTAAGGAATGCTTTTTTCAACTTTGGAAAGTGATTGGGATAAAATTTTATTTGAAATAATAGAAAAAGGTTACTCAAATAGGAGTAAAATATAGAAAAAATTACTAAAATAAGAACTCTATATTTTTATCTTCTATGTTTGCACTGTGGTAATGTAACATTGTACATGGACATTTTGCAATACTGTTTGATAATTTGTATGGTCATGATTGACAATATAAATTTATTTTAACTCATATTTCAAAAATAAAAACATGAAAAATCCTATTTTAGTATAATTTCAATTTTTTATTCATATTTTAGATTTTTTTCCACAATAGAAATAGGTAAAAACAAAATTATGAATGAGGCGGGAGTGTATTTTTATTTTAAAGCATGAATATATCACGAGAATTGTACCTCTTTTTCCGTATTACGTCAAAAGTTCTACAAAACAAGAGGTGACAAGAATATTTTATTTTATCAAATACTTGATGAAATCGCGTAAACAAACAAAAGTTATCGAGATGAGAGAGAAAAAAAATTGTAATCTATTTAGGGACGGAGGGAGTATTTGATTTTTCCTAGTTTTTATTGCAATACTTCAACTATTAATACATCTATTTATATATTATGAAAAATGAACATTTTGGAACTATGTTTCAAAATGAATTTATTAATATTAAATTTATATAAAATTTTATATATTTTTTCCATAATATATAATTAAAATTCCAAAAGTTTGATAATAAAAATCAAACTGCAAAGTTAATTTTAAAACGATGAGAACAAATATTTTTCATTTACAATTACCAACAAGTTTTTTCAAATATCATACGGAGTAATAAATATTTATAAATTTTACTTGTTTTTATTATTTTGGGAACGGTTCCCATGACCCGGGGCAGTTCAGTGTCTCGTTCGTAAAATTGACGATTTCTACCTCCCTAATCCGTGTTAAACTTTCCTACAAGTTAATTTTGACTATGAGGTAAAATTTTGACTCCAAATTTTTTTAAACAATAAGTTTTTTTTAATACTAGAGTATTTCGCTATTTGCCCAAGGGTGATTGATTGGGCACCCTTACTTTGACCAAGCCCATTCGTTTAGTCTCGGCAACCTTGAATATCGTACTTATTGGGAAATGCTTGGTTCACAAACTCAAACTTCACAAACTTCACAAACTTACCATATGTGAACTTCAATAAAGAAAATTAAATAGTCTAAAATAATTTTAAAATGAGAATTTAAACCATAAATAGTAAGTTTGTGAAATTTATGATCTTTCTGTTTGTGAACGTAGCATTGCCCGTACTTATTATAGGAGTGCATTATACTAAAGTCAAATAGAATTTTAAAAAATTGAAAAAAATATGTTCCACATATTAAAAAAGAATATTTTACTCCTCCGTTTATAAAAGATTGTTACAATTTGACTTTTTTGGTCAAATTATGGCACCATTTAATCGTGAATTATGAAAAAATTAAATTTAGTTATAATGTAAATTTAGTAAAATTAGGTTTATTTTAGAATATAGTTTTGAAATATCAGTTTTTTTATAAAATTTAATTATTTTCAACTATAATTAATTTGTGACCAAAAAATACCACAGTTTGACTAAAAAATTTAAACTGTGACAATCTTTTAGGGACGGAAGGAGTAGCATGCATGAAACATGCTCCATATACTAAAATAGAACATTTATTGTTTTTATACCTAAATAAGACTTTATGCTACACATAATTGTTTTTTCATGGTTATTTTTAGAGACTGTATTTGCATATTTCCTCCACTTACATTCTTTGCCATCTATTTACATTATTTTGGGGGAAGGGGTATTTGAATTGGAGTCAAACCATCCTTTCCTACCAAGAGTTTGACACAAAGTATTTCACTAACATATACGTACAAATAATTATCATTTCTGATACACAGATACACATAATGATTGTCACTTTGCAAAACATTTGGTGTCAAACCTAGTTGGTTCATAGTTTTTTTTGGGTGAATTGAGCATGGGAGTAGTCCACATTTAGGAAGTGTGACAAAAGCCTATATTTACGTATGATGTGGATGAAAAAGTTGTACGTGTTCTAAACAAAAAAAGAGACAACTCATATTAGCTAATAAGGTAGGTACACCACACACATAAGACTGCTTCAATTCATAGAGTAGAAATTAAGAATGCTCTAAAGTCAAAAAGAAAACGAAACCCTCGCCACATTTGTCCCTTCTTTATTTTTAGCTGGACACATTATATTATCCATGCCAAAACATACCTAACTCAAAAAATTGTTTTAAAAAACCAATTAGAGTTATACTTTCTACGTCCCTTACAAAATTTTCAAGTTTTTCATTTTACATGTCTCATAAAATATTTCAATTTAAGTTATTAAAAGGACAAAATTATCGTTATTGTTCTTATATCTAATAGAACCTACCTCAACCACTTTCTAAGTCCTTAACATTTTGGTCTTTCTCCTGCCCTACTCATTTCAATTGTTGTCGTTTCACTTTGGTTAAAATTCTTCATCCTTCCCTCCCAAGCAGTGGCGGACCTAGACTACCCAATGAGCGGTGTCAAAAGTAAAAGATCGAGAACTTCTCAGGCGGAATATATAGGCATGATAAAGAGTTAGAGAGCAACGTCTCTAAATTTTCTTTAGAAACATAATAAGAAATAACAAAAAAGTATCAAACTGATAAATTTTATCTTTAATATTAAAATAATTAAAATAAAATAATTAAATGACATTATTATTAATTATAAAAATGATAAAAAATGATCACAGTAGAAAATATTGAAGTTAATACACATTGCACCGGTAGATAACTAATTTTTTAAACACAATAAAAAGTGACAAAAAAATTATGGAGTAATAAATTATTTTCAAATATTCAAATAATTGAAAATAACATAATTATTGAATAGAAAGTATTATTATTAATTATATAAAAAATTATTGTCAATATCTAATACTGTTTTTTTAAAAATTCAGCGGTGTCTGTTGACACCGCCGGACCCCCCCTAGGTCCGCCACTGCTCCCAAGAGTAAAACAAGAAAATGTGTGTGCGCGCGCGCGTTGTGTGTGTGTGTGTATATATATATATACACTCCGTGTGTGTGTATATATATATATATATATATATATATATATATATATATATATATACACACTCCGTATATATATAATGCATGGGATGGATATGATGTGATGATGTGGGGATGCATGCTCATATATAAATGGAATGAATGCAGATAACGTTTCAACTAATGGTGAAGCAGCTGATGAGCATAGATCCATGCGAGTGGACAGAGGAGCTAATGAAAGAGTACATGCTTCTCATTGATGGCTTCTTCACTCTTCCTTCCACTCTCTTCTCCCCCACTTACCGCAAAGCTATTCTGGTACGCGCACACCACCTTTGACACCACCATCCAGTGTCTCACACACCAGATCTTCTGACATGATATTAATCCTATTTAGCGCAAATATTTCTAATTAATATGGTTTTGTTTTATTATTTTGGAATGTTTTTGAAATCAGGCAAGGAAAAAGGTAGCGGGGGCGTTGAATGAGGTGGTGATTGAGAGGAGAAAGGAGAGAGAGTGGAGAGGGGAGAGAAAGAACGACATGTTAGAAGCACTGTTGGAAGGAGACGGCGGCGGCGGAGGGGAATTCACGGACGAGGAAATAGTGGATTTCATGGTGGCGTTGTTGGTGGCGGGGTACGAGACCACCTCCACCATCATGACGGTCGTCGTCAAATTCCTCACCGAGACCCCCTCTGCTTTGGCTCAACTCAAGGTGCGTATTGTAAATTTTGGTACATAAATAAAAAAATAATTCGTACAAATTACATATCCTCTATCTAAAAACAACATCAAATATTCTAGAAGACATCATGTGACAAAAATATTTTATTTTTATTAAATGATCAATGAAAATATACGAATAAATAAATGTTATCGAGGATTCGAGGGCTAAAATCATTTTGGAATTAAAAACATTAAATTGTATAATAAAAAAGTATACCCCGTAAAAAGATTCAAAAGAGAAAGCTGCAAGACCAATAATGATTTCCTTGGTAGACCAAACCAACGGCCTACTTTGTAGCACGTACGTCTTAGTTTTTTATGTGAAATTTAAGAATAAAAACATAAGCTATTTCCAATGTATGACTTAAACTTTTTTATTCTCTAAATAAGACTTAATAATAACTAGTGAAAAAAATAATGTCTAAGTGATGCTGGACATTTAGTTAAATAATGACTGATAGATAATGACCAATGATCCTACATTGAGAAATAAAAACATATGGTCATATATTGGGAAAGTCATTATGTTTTAGTCCTATTTAGGTAAATTGCCCGTCTGAGCTGGCCAGACAATCATTTAAAAAGAGTAAAATTGAGCTTTAATCATAACCAGGTTGACAATGGGTGAAGCTTCTATTTAGTACTCCCTCAGTCCCCTTAATATCTTCTCGCTTTGACTTTTTGTGGTTTTTAAGAAAAGTTGAAAAAAGGAGAAAATTTACCATCATAGCCTTAATGAAAATGGGTGGAGTGTACAAAATGAGATAGGTGATGTGTAATAAATAAAGTGTGGGTAGTTGTGGTATTTCATTTGTTAAAAAAGGTAATGAGAAGATCTATTGGGGACAAATAAAAAGAGCTATTGAGAAGATCTATGGGGGACGGAGAGAGTACTTGAAGATACTCTATGCTTAATATATTTGTCACCGAACAAAATTGACAAAAAACGATCACGAGACTTGCACCCTCGGCCTGGCCTTACCCGTTGAGCCACGCCTCCCGGCACGAACCCATCATTGCAAATTTCTCAATTCCCCATCATTTCAACCTACATTTTGAGTAACACGCTCACACTTGTTCGTTAGAACACTCACCGCTAATTCTCGAGGATCATTTTTCATAATAACACATTCAAGTGGAGACATAATTCTTTAAAGTCGACATTATCTGCGTATTTTTTCGTTCATCCCAAAACATGCTCTATTTTCTATTTTTTTCTCCTCTACACAACTTTCTATCATACAATTTTACTTTTTATAAACTTCTTCGTATCTGGTCAATTCTGGAACATTATTGCGAAACAAAGGGAGTACGTACCTGCAAGATGGGTTGTGGTACCAAACAGGGGTCCCACGGCACTCGTGACTGACAATGCCACTTCAATTCCCTCTTCAATGTTCACACGTGGAGATAAACCCCCATGTTCACACACCTAACAGCCAGTAGTACCGCTATACCCCTTTTCTCTTCTTTCTTTCTTTTGATGCATGCAAAAAGACAAAGCTGTGGTCATTTCTACAGTCATAATATATAATGGGTCAAATTTGTTTGCCCTGCCATTCAAAACATCAACTCAACCTGGGATTGTATTTGCAACTATACTTTCTCTTTTGGTTACCATAACCAAAATACTCTGCTTTTCTACTTCAACCACTCATCCTATTACAAAAGGATGACACCCCATCTCAGAAAGCCCCCCAGGCGGGACATTTGACTGAAAAGAAGGGACATTTGACTGAAAAAAAGTAAGTTGAGCTATAATCTCAGACAGTTGACGTAAAAGTGTGGTCCCATGTTTGGTACTTGTAAAAGCTCTGTGCTTTGCAGAGTTCCTCTCATTGCAACCCTTAATGCCAATCTTTGAGCTACGTCTCACGAGTACACTATATTAGTTTTCCCATGCACAAGGTACAAATCAACGCACAAAAAGGAGAAAAAAAATCAAGCACAAATTGCAAACTAAAGCTCAAAAGGTCTACTCAATTACTCTAATCATATACTCGAGTAATAAAGGTGTCACGAGAATTTTACATTAAAAAAAAAATAAATAATCCGTCATTAAACATGATATATATTAACTTAAATGTGTTTGCAGAAAGAACATGAAGACATCAGGCTAAGGAAAGGCGAGGCTCAGGAGCTGGAATGGGGCGACTACAAGTCCATGCCTTTTACCCAATGTGTGAGTACTCAAACAACACCAACTTCCAACAAATTAAGAAGTACCCATCCAGGACACCTTTGGTCACAAATGTTCTGTTTCAGGTTATAAACGAGACGCTTCGGGTCGCAAACATAATTGGTGGAGTATTTAGGCGCGCGACGACAGATGTTGATGTCAAAGGTTACACAATCCCCAAAGGATTCAAAGTTTTTGCTTCCTTTCGAGGAGTGCATCTCGATCAGGACTTGTTCGAAGATGCGAGGTCTTTTAACCCATGGAGGTGGCAAGTATGTATATACATACATATTCCCTTCGTTTCATATTAACTGTCCATTATGACTTTCTTGGTACATTGAAAAATGAATGAATATGGCCGTACTTTATGTCTAAATTCATTCATTTCTTAATGTACCAAGAAAGTCATAATGGATAGTTAATATGAAATGGAGGGAGTAAGTCATATAACTCATGATTGTATATGTCTATGTATTTGTTTCATAGAGTAACGAAGGACCGACGAGTGCATTCATGGCATTTGGTGGTGGGCCTAGGCGTTGTCCCGGGTACGAGCTTGCAAGGGTGGAGCTCTCCGTCTTCCTCCACCACCTAATCACGTGTTTTAGGTACATTTAATGCTCTGTCTTCTGCGTGTTACTATATACCATGTTATTTACTTGTATATCATACGTGGTAATTAAAGAAATGCGTGTACCAGTTAACCAACTCTTTTTTATTGACAATTGGATGAACAGTTGGACGCCTGCGGAGGAGGACAAGTTGGTTTTCTTCCCGACAACTCGGATGCTAAAACGGTGTCCCCTCTTGGTACAAAAGAAGAAAGATTTAGGCTTAAATGAGGAGAGGAGATGATGATAATCAGTGGAAGCAAGCTAGCCAATAAAAGAGATGAAGTTTAGAGTAGATATATATATGTACATTTTATACTATGTATGTATAGTAGATCAATATGATGGTTTGTACACCAACTCCGATAAACACAATATTTATATGCCTCCTATATTCCTTGGTAAAAGTTAGGGTCATAAAAAGTCATATTTAGCATATACGGAGTACCAAGTATTAAAACCTTATTAATTTGGGTGAAAAAATGGTCTAAAAAACGTTAAATTTTTAAGTGATGATTTTCTTTTTCTTTTTCCAAATAACTTTTTGGCATCCATTACGCATACAAATTCAGAATATTATGACATTGTTTGAAAGTGGTTTGTCACCTGTATATTATTGCGTTAGATATTTTTAGAATATCTGTTTAATTTAGTGGATTTAACTCACTAGATGTATTGATTGATCGTTAAAAAAACACGTATTTAGCAAAATTAACTATTTACAAATAATTATTTTGAGATTTAAAAATAAAATTTGTTACATGTATATTATTACATTCTTTTTTTAAAGAAATTAATGGAGTAATATACCAGTAGAAAATTTTAACGAGATGCAATAAGATGGTAGGTATTTTTATCACTAATTAAGCCAATTTTGGAAGAAACGAGTATTTTATTTATTTTATTTTTATTTTTTATTTTTTTTAAATTTAATTTTTTCAAAATATATTAATAAATAAGTAAAAATAAATAAAAATATGTATTATGGGGATGCTTGACCATCGAGTGATGAGTAAAAGAAAAATACTAGGGTACACCAAAAGTGTACCCCAAATGTACACCACTTCTCCAATGCCACATATATTGGCAAATAAATTAAACAAGAAATAAATTAATAAAAATGAGTGGTAGAAAAATGAGTGGTATAAAAATGGGTGGTGTACATTTGGGGTATACTTTTGGTGTACATCTAGCATCCTTCGAAGTAAAATTGTGGTTTATCTTGACTAGTTGAAAAAAATAAATACTCCATTAAATTTTGATTAATTACATTTAAAAAAATAAAAAAAGGAAAAAAAGGGGAGGAAGATGACGTGATAGCCAACACAATGACCACACACATAGTACTATAGTACGGGGTAGTGTGTAATGAGTGGAGGAGACATGAGTGAAGATGATCCATAGAAATTTGAAAAAGAAAAAGAAACTACACTTTGTCATTAATCTTAAAACCAAAGACAAGCATACAACTATACATTATACCCATATGTGTATAAGTCTTAAAATATATATTTTAAATTTTAAAGTCAACTAAACTTATGAGTTATAATCGACGTACGTGGATGAGGGATGAATTAAAGTCGAATCTTGTGAGTCGGGGTTCACCGAGTGGTTTGGAAGGATAGAACTATTAATTATGTAAATGAAGCACCGTAAGTATTTCAAATAGTCAGTGTCCTCCGAAACCAATATATTTTTGGTGTCAAAAGTGGGATTACAATTACGAGTCCTTTGTCTCATAATTATCTTCATTCTATTCTACTTGAACTGCCTCAAAATTTTCTTCTTTTTTCATTTTAAGAAAATAAATATGTGATCTATATTAATTTCTTTCATCTACACGAATCACAACCATCAATATTTCACTTTATTAAAAATTGTGTCAAGTCAAATACGGGAAGTAATTTCGAAATGAAGGAAGTATTATAAACCCAACAATTCTATGGGTACACCAAAAATTGTACTCTTAGTGTAGGGTAAATTTCACTAATGGTACCTGAACTTTAGCTGGAATTTCGAAGTGGTACCTGAACTTCAAATCCTTTCACAAAAATCCCTGAACTTACACAATCTGTACTTACCCGCGGTTTCCGGCGGGTCGGAGCGTTTTCCGGCCAACTCCGGCGAAATTGACGGCGGGAACCAACTCCAATGGGGTCGTGGCATCCGGGCGACCTCCAAGGACCCTTCAATTGCAAGATTTGATGACGATTTGCAAAACTCCCAATTTTAGACCCAATTTCGAAATTTAGGGTTTTTTCGAGTAGAAAAATTCAGATTCGAGAAGTTACAGGACAAATTAGACAAAATGGTTTGGATATTATTGATCCTCGTCTCAAGACGAAGAGAATGACATTGGTCCCGTCGGAATCAGAAAAAGTTCATTTTCCGGCGACTTTGACCGGCGGGCGGCGGCGGCGGGGCCTGGAAGAAAAGAAAAGAAGAAATGGGGTCAAATTGAAAATTTTAAAATATATAAAATTCGAATTTGGCCCTAATGACCGGAAGTTAACCTAGAAACGGGCTAGTGGCTCATTAGTGAAAGGATTGTGTAAGTTCAGGGATTTTTGTGAAAGGATTTGAAATTCAGGCACCACTTCGAAATTCCAGCTAAAGTTCAGGTGAAATTACCCTCTTAGTGTACCCCAAACTTTTCTACCACAAATTCTTGATTTTTTGGTGTTGATTAAAAATGAATAAATTAATAAAAATATATGATAAAGATTATAGATTGTTGGTGTACTAGGATTTACAAATTACAAAAGTCCAATATGAATGGAGAATTCAGTCCCATTTGGTATGAATAAAAGAGGCGGGAACGTACCACAGGACCGGCGGCCGGCAACACCGTCGAATTGTCGTTGACACTTTTGATGCTTTTTTGTTTTCTTAATTTTTACGCAAATCTATGTTTCGCCCGCAACCCAAGACTGCCCATCTCCAGCTCTAAAATCACGTCAATTTCATATTGCCCTAATGATAATTTGCGAAAGGAAGAAACTTCAACAGCAATCGGGAAATGGGGAGCTACAATTACTACAAGATGTTCGGTTGCTTCAACCGGAAATTCAAGATCAGCGAGAGGGAGCCTCCGCCGGAGGTTAGGGATGTGTTCTCCCGATACACCGAGAACGGTCCCCACATGAACGCCGATCAGATGGCCAGGTTTCTGGTGGAGTACCAGGGGGAGGAAGGGTGCACCGCCGAGGATGCCGCCCAAATCATACAACACATTCACCACCGCCGCCGCCACCATTTGCCCCAGCATACCCACCACCCTTCCCCCGCCCGCTCTCTTGATCTGGAAGATTTCTTTGATTTTCTATTTCAAGATGATCTCAATGGACCTCTCAAACCCCAGGTTCTCTCTTTTTTCCTTCTTAATACCCCCCCAAATTATTAATTTTTCGGTAGATTTTGCATATTGACACATTGTTGTGCATTGTTAAGGTATTTTTACATGCTATTCAGTGTAAACTGGAGGGATTTATGATCATTTATACGTTGTGTTCTTGTTCTAAGCTCATCTGTGGTGTTTGCAAGTTGGATTCTGGATATGTTTGATGATTTAGATTATCGATTTATGCTTTCGGGTATTTTTATTTCATAATGAAAGAGGATGCTTTGTTTTGTGAGTAAACTCAGGTATGGCATGACATGACTGCCCCATTGCAACATTACTTCATATATACCGGTCACAACTCCTACCTGACAGGGAATCAGCTCAGCAGTCAATGCAGTGAGATACCTATTATTAGAGCTCTTGAAAGAGGTGTGAGGGGTATTGAATTGGACTTGTGGCCTAATTCTGCTAAAGACAATATTCATGTTCTTCACGGAAGGTACTATGCCGACACCAAGCAGTGAAAATTAAAGTGGTCTAAATCTTCATTTTTTAATTAATCAAAGATGAAAACATTTATACTTGATGATTGAGGTTATTTGGTTTATCTGCATTCTTATTTCTGGTTGTGTTATGGTTGGTATTATTATCATTTTAACTAGATTGAGTGCTTATGTTGTCAGCTTTGGAGATTTTCAGGACATTAACGACTCCAGTGACTCTCATCAAATGTTTGAAATCCATTAAAAAGCATGCTTTTGTGAAATCTCCATATCCTGTTATCATTACTTTGGAAGATCACTTGACGCCTGAACTTCAAGCCAAGGCTGCCGAGGTTAGATTTTGCAAAAAAAAAAAAAACTGTTAAAAGGACTGTTATCGCAAATCCCCCATATGCATCTTTTATTTTGCACTTTAATGTTTGTAGATGTTGACTCAAGTGTTTGGGGAAATGCTTTACTACCCTGAGTGTCAATGTTTGGGAGATTTGCCTTCGCCCGAAGAGTTAAAGCACCGTGTTGTTCTTTCTACTAAACCACCCAAAGAGTACCTTGAGTCAAGACACCAAAATAATGACAGAGAAAATGCCTCTCCAATTTGGAAATATTCGTCGGAAGATGACTATTCTTTGAAAGAGATTTCAGAAAATGGAGCCGATGGGGTAATGTAAATGGAGTTGGGATTAGACATGGTTTTGTTATTGTTGATGCGTAGTGTACTTGCTTATTATCCAATCTTTGTTTGGGCATTAGAGCGGTTCTGATCAAGATGAAGAGTTAAGCAAAGCATCTACATGCCAGCCCGACGCTTTATTAAGGAAAGAGATGCGCAGAAATAGAGATGAACCACATGATGATGACCTGGTAAGGTTCCATTGGGATAATTCCTTCATCTTCTGGTGGTGTTTTACGTGTTTTTGTGTCACCTATCTTCTTGAATTAATGACTTCCCCCTCCCCAAAATTGATCAAATTATCATGTGACCCTTGAGATTTCTTAACATTATTAACGTCCCTTGATTTGTAATTTTTTTGCAAACAACACCTCTAACACCGATCTTCTGTTTGATAACAGGGAAAAATAATTTAGATGAGGATGATAATAACATTCAATCGTCAAGAGCACTTGAGTACAAGCATCTGATTGCTATACGCGCAGGAAAGGCAAAGCAAGGCTTGAAGCATGCATTAACAACACTACAAGAGAAAGTGAGGCGTCTTAGCTTGAACGAGCAAGAACTTGAGAAGGCAGTAGGGCTGTACGGCACTGATGTTGTCAGGTGGTTCGAATAAGATTTTCATCTCTTTGTCGCTTGCAAACTATTTTAACATTGTTCTGAATAATATTGATGGGTTTCGTCCCAACATTTACAGGTTTACGCAAAAACATATTCTGAGGGTGTATCCAAAGGGAACACGTGTGACATCATCAAACTTCGACCCGATGCTTGGGTGGATGCATGGAGCTCAGATGGTTGCATTCAACATGCAGGTTGGTCTTGTGGACACTGGTATGTGAGTGCTGACTTCAAGATTTTTTTAGTGCTTCCAGTGTTTTCTCAAATGGTTATTTCTCATTTTAGGGATATGGGAAGTCGCTGTGGTTGATGCATGGGATGTTCAGATCAAATGGAGGTTGTGGCTATGTGAAGAAGCCTCAGTTCCTCTTGGAAAGATGTCCGGACGGCGAGGTTTTTGATCCCAAAGCAACCTTAACAGTGAAGTTGACATTAAAGGCAAGAATACTTGAGCCCATGGTCCATTTATGGTGTTCCTAGACCCACCTACCCCTTGAACCATCCACAACCTCTCCCATGCCCCCATCCTACTGTAGCATATCATTGAAATAGGAAGGGTGGAGGGGGGGAGGGGGGTTGAGGGAGAAAGAACCACTTTTGGGTTGAAGAAAACACCTTAGGCCCCTCGAATGGACCAGTGTCATATTATTAAATTGGTCCTTGGTGTCATAAGAACAGGTCTTTTTTAAATAAAAACACAGAGACCCTTTTGGTTTAATCCATTTGGCTATTGCAGCCAAATTTTAAAAATGCAAAAAAAAAAGTATGCCATCCAAACCAAACGGGGCAGTTGCATTCTCAGAGTTTGTTTTGAAAATCATTAATCATTATATGATTTGATGTCTTATGATGTGCAGGTGAGTGTTTACTTAGGGGATGGATGGAGGCTAGATTTCAGCCACACTCATTTTGATTCCTACTCCCCGCCAGACTTCTACACTAAGGTAATCCGTCTTACATTTAGTTTAGATCCCGTTTGGTAAGAGTTATTTGGAAATTGGAATGAAAAGTTTCAGCCAAATAAGTAGGAGCAGCACACATACTTTGCCAATAAAAAAAGAAAATGATGAACCCATCTTAGGGTCCTATTAGGTCTTGCCAGATAGTAACATGAAAGAAGGTAAATAAGCAGAACCAAACTACCAAATGGGATCTTATTAGTCAAGTCTGGGGAATTGATCAAAACAAAAGCTTGTCATGTAATCAGGCTTACATTTAGATCCCGTTTGGTAAGAGTTATTCGGACATGGGATTGAAAGCATTTCCATTTCAGCCAAATGAGTAGGAGCACACATCTGCCCTTTCTGTCTACTCTACTAATAAAAGAGAAAAAGATAGGACTCCGTCGTAGGTTCCCATTAGGACCTGTCATACAATAAGCTAAAAGAAAGATAAATTGAGTTATAATCCCAGTCTGACAAATAAAGAGTGAAATCTGTCATTGTGCCAGAAAGTCCATGAACCATTGGTGCGAATTTTAAAGTTCATTGGGGGTAAATGTCACAAAATAAAAAAAAAAAAAACAAAAAGCTTGTGTGAACAACAAAAGTAGGATGACAGGTACATATGGTAGGAGTGGGGGCGGACTGCGGGAAGAGAAAGACGAGAGTCATAGAGGACGAGTGGGGCCCCAACTGGGGGGGAGAAGAGTTTGAGTTCCCGCTGACAGTTGCAGAGGTGGCACTGCTCAGGATCGAGGTGCGGGAGTACGACATGTCCGAGAAAGACGACTTTGGAGGGCAGACCTGTCTGCCCGTCTCTGAGATCCGGCCCGGGATCCGCTCCGTTCCTCTCCACGACAAGAAAGGAGAGAAGCTGAAATCTGTGAGGCTGCTCATGCGCTTTCAGTTCTAATTCTAGCTCTCCCTGATCACTCACTGTAAATATATATGGGATTGTACGTACGTATGTACTTCTGTATATAGATAGCATTGTTGTACTTGCTGCTGCAATCTCCGAGTTATTGCACAATTTTAAAACTGTCTAAGACATGTTCTCATTATACTTGTGGATTAGTAAGTATGCTTAAATAATCCTAGCTTATACGGAGTATGAATTGGATTTTTCAAACCCAGAAATGGTAATGTTATTAATACAAAAAAAAGATGAATTCAGAGTCACGTGAGTAAGAACAAGAGCATCCAAAAACTGGTGAAAATAAACACAAAAGGGCTGAAGCCATAAGTCCAAAATGCCAAATGTCAAATGCCATACTTCTTCTTAACATGAAGGTTGAGTAGTAAGATTCTGAAATGCCAAATGTTTTGACCCATGCACGATTTGCCAAAACCAAGTTGCATGCCAACCTTCGAATGCATGAACAAAGAAATGTAATTGCCGAATGTTTTAGTCCATCCACAAACCACCAATGTCGAAGACCAAAGTCCCCGAGGGTGAATTAAAATTGAAGGGTTAGGGTGATGGGTTCAAGGGCCGAGGTGAGGGTTAGTCGAGGGATTAGAGAGGTATGATTCATCAATTTTACGACCGGAACACCGATTGGAAGTGTTGTCAATTGTCATATTATTTACATTATTTTTTGTTGTCACAACGGAAGTGTACTTAATACTAGTACTCCTTCCATCTCGTATCTTTCTTTCCGTTGCGCAAATCGAAGAAAAATCTCAAAATTTTCAATTTATTTTATTTTAATATTGGTATAGAAATAAAAAATAAAATTTACACGTTTAAATACTATATCAAAGTTTAATAAAATAAGTGGTAACAAGAATATCTTATCTGGTTAGAAGGAGAGGTTAATGAGAAGAAAGAGGTGAGAAGGAGAGATTACTAAAATTAGGTACTAAATTGCTGCGGCTGATTGCTGACGGTCTGACCGGCGCCTGGTAGAATAACAGGGGAGGCCAAGCAGATCACGTTGAAAACTGTCCACCGGCGACAATTCGGAGTACTCCATCCGGCATTTGGGCGAGACAGCACGACAAATTGTTTCTATCCTGAAAATGGGCTCTTCCGCCGTCGCCGCCCTTCCTCCGCTGTCATCTGATTCGGATTCCGACTCCGGCACCAACTCCACCGGATGCCACGGCCACTCCGACCTCTCATCCTCCATATTCAAATCCTACCTCGACCTCGCCGGCGGTGGGAACCACCAGCAACACGATCTCCTCAAGATCCAATCCTTCCTCACCTCCTCCCGCTCGGGCGCCCTCTCCTGCCTCATCTGCCTCGAGCGGATCAGGCCGGTGGATCCCACCTGGTCCTGCACCTCCCGCTGCTTCGCCGTCTTTCACCTCCTCTGCATTCAATCATGGGGTGTCCAAGCCTCCAACCTCGCCGCCGCTCGCGCAGCATCCCGTGGCGCCACCCCAGGCGAAAATTCTCTCCTCTGGCACTGCCCCAAATGCCGAATCGAGTACCCTAAACACCAAATCCCAAAAAACTACTCCTGCTTCTGCGGGAAACTAGAGAACCCGCCACATGATCCATGGGTTTTACCTCATTCCTGCGGGGAAATCTGTGGCAGACCATTGAAACACAATTGCGGGCACCATTGTCTACTCCTCTGCCATCCAGGCCCGTGCCCCTCCTGCCCTAAATTGGTAAAAGCCAAGTGCTTTTGCGGATCGGTAGAGGATATGAAGCGATGTGGTTTCAAGAACTTCTCATGTAATGCCATTTGCAAAAAGCTTTTAGCTTGTAAGACTCATAGGTGCAATGAAATCTGCCATGAGGGTGACTGCCCGCCATGTACCGCAAAAGCCCTTTATAAATGCCAATGTGGGAAGATGACAATGGAAAGGCAGTGTTTTGAGAGGGTTTTCAGGTGTGAGAATCCATGTGATCTGTTATTAGGTTGTGGCAAGCACAAGTGTGAGAGAGGTTGCCATGAGGGCGAATGCGGAAAGTGCCCATTTCAGGTGAAGAGGACATGTCCTTGTGGGAAGAAAGCTTACGAGGGGATGTCTTGTGATGTTGTTCCGCCTGTGTGTGGCGAAACATGTAATAAGATGCTGAGCTGTCGATATCATAGGTGCTACGAGAGGTGCCACCGCGGGCCATGTATTGAGACCTGCAGAAGTGTTGTTACAAAGGCGTGTAGGTGTGGGAGCCTTACAAAAAAGGTATTACTTGGCAGTTTCTTGATGAATGATATGAACTTTCTTGATTGCTAGTTAGTTAAAGCTCAAGTTTTGGAAATGGTAAACTGAAATTTTAGAATAGGTTCCTTGTTATCAAGATTTGACGTGTGAAAGGAAGTGTTTAAACCTCCGGGATTGCGAACGGCATGCTTGCAAGCGTCGCTGCTGTGACGGAGATTGTCCCCCTTGTTCTGAGGTATAATACTTGAAATGCCCTTGTTAAACTTATTATATGTTTTTTTTTGGTAATCATCTTTTGGGATTATCAGATTTGTGACAGGAGGCTCCGGTGTAGAAACCACAAGTGCCCTGCTCCATGCCACAGGTGCTTCTCTTTCTTTTCCCTCTGTCACCTCAATCTGAATATCACAAGTTTTCTACTCTGTCATTCCAATCATATGTTAGTACCCTTTAATACTATCAGTTCAGGACAGCCCCTAGAATTACGTCACGCTTCATCTGATAAGCTACCCAGACCCTACTCTTGTGGGATTCAACTGGGTTGTTGTTGTTGTTTCATTTGATAAGCTACCAGTCATTCAATCATGAAAAGTAATATCGGTGTAGCTTTCCTATATATAACTATATCAGAAGTACTTGTCTCGTCCGGTTAAAAGTGAACATTTGGAGGTGAGGTGATGAATCATTTAATGCGGAAATTAGGAGCCCATTTGGAAAGACATGAAATGAATGAAGTGGCAGAATTATGAAAAAAAGAATATTTAAAATGTATATTATTGATAAAATAAAGTGTTGGAATAAAGTTGAAGAAGCTCTATTGAGAATTACTGAGTTACATTCACTCATTTTTTTTCTGCTTTCATGAAAATTTACCATTCACGATGATCCGTTATCTTTTTCTGCTCTACATCATTATAAGATGTGATAATTTCTTGTTATCCTCGTAGAGGTGCTTGTGCTCCATGCCCGGTGATGGTGATAATCTCATGTTTGTGTGGGGAGACATACTTTGAGGTGAGAACAACATTTTCTTCTTTTATCAATTCATGTCGAGTCTTTTATCTTCTGTATTATAACTAAACAATGACAATAACACTACTTCCATAGCTACAGTTACATGTCTAGAATCATACCTTTAACTTTTATCAGGTTCCTTGCGGCACAGAATCTGAACAGAAACCCCCTAAATGCCCCAAACTTTGCCGTATGACACTTTTATGCAGCCATGCATCAGTTTCTAAGGTTTGTTTGCTGTACTTTTCTTAACAGATTTTGCTGGATTCAATTTAAGCCTTTAAGGTATATTTCCCTTTATTGTCCGTACTCTGTACCTAAATTCCACCTTTTCTGTTGTGTATCTTATCAGTCTTTTTGTTTTAGTGCCAAGTTCCATACATAATTTGCTTCTCCCTCTCCAGACACACAAATGCCACTATGGAGCTTGTCCCACGTGTCGGTTAATTTGTAATGAAGAATACCCTTGTGGTCACAAGTGCAAATTGAGGTTTGTCATATATTTTATGCTTAGGTGTACACACGAATATTTTCATGCAAATTTGTTTAATTTTTTTAATAAAAAATTAAAAATTTAATTGAATCAGGTGCCATGGCCCTAGACCTCCCCCTCTTCCAGAATTTACATTGAAACCGAAGAAAAAGAGGTCAACTCTTCAAAATGAACCAACCTCTGGAACACCATGCCCTGCTTGCCCAGAACTTGTTTGGAGGTCTTGTGTGGGGAACCACATTGGAGCAGAAAGGATGGTTAGTATTACATTTCCAAGATCTCATGTGAAGTAATTTTCTTGGTCATCTTCTTCCTACTCTCATGGAAGTTTTTACAGGCATCTGTTCTCGTATTTAGAAAATTCATCTCATAAGTTACATGATGTTGGATTGGAATAAGTAGGCAATTTTGAGACCCGTATGAAGTTAAATGACATTTTCCATTCCATTTTTTTCTTATATAAATATAAATACTCTGCATGCTATTAGAGGGGATACATATATCTTTCCACCACACATTTAGGCTATTTGGATCCCCGAAAGTGCTAGGAAAATGGGAATACCCCCAAGGAGAAACATTTTCTTACGTCTGTTTTTCTCTAGAAAAATGCAAAAATTGAAATACGATTTTTATAATATTTGCAAATTTACATAGATATTTAGATTTCTTAGTCTTTATATAAACGGCATACTCCATTTCCTTATAAAATTAGTGTAAACAAATATCTAAAATAAATTTATTGAATTTTAGCCTTTAAATTTCCTCCTTTTTTCTTTCCTTAACACTATGTTTGGTTCAAGGAATCTGGAAGGAAAAGAAAAGAAAATGGTTTTCCCTCAGTTTCCTCCCCAAAATGAGAGGAATTTGGTTTTCCCTCCTCTTAGTACATTTTTCCTTCTCATTTTCTTTTCCTTCCCACTTTCTTTTCTTTTCCTCTCTAACCAAACAAGAAAAATGTTTTCCTTCTCATTTTCTTTTCCTTTCCCTCTCAAGTTCTTTGAACCAAACATAGTGTAAACGTTTTCTCTATGTTTTCGTTCCGATTTTCTTTCCCTAGTATTTTCCAGGTTATAAACGGACCCTTACTTTCCTTTCTCTTCAAGTCATCTCAATCTCAAATCTTAAAAAATTACTCATTTTCTCTTCTCTCACTGCTCTCTACTGGATTTCTCTTCTCAAAGTCCTCCATCATCGAAACTAGCACTAAGTGTTCATCCCAGTAATCCTTAAACTGCTTCAACACTTTCTCCCAGATGGTGTGCTCAAACAGCGCTGAATTTTCGTGTGATAACCTATGCGGATATCTTCTCAACTGTGGCAATCACTACTGTACTAAAACGTGCCATGCCATAAGCTTGAATCCTTCTTCTTCTGCATCTGAAGGGCATGGTAGAGCTGATTCATGTGAAAAATGTACTCTTCGTTGCCAAAAGGTATGATCTTTGGTTCCAACTGCTGATCTCTAATTCACTTCATTACTTCTGTTTGTTTACATGTTTACAACAAATGTTTGCCACACTACACTTGATAGAACTAAGTTTCCAGAAATTACATTAAATATCACTTTTTTGCACCTCAATAGTCAATAGTCATCATTCACGACTCAATATAATAAAAATGCCATTTCTAGCCACAAAATTCACGGCTAGTTTATACAAGCCATAATGATGTTACTATAAAAATGCATTCTTTTTTTTCAAGGAGAGGGAGCCGGCATGTCCACATCCTTGCCCCTTGCCATGCCATCTTGGAGAGTGCCCTCCTTGCAAAACATTGATAAAGAGGTCATGCCATTGTGGTGCCATGGTTCATGCATTCGAGTGCATCTACTACAACACCTTGTCTCAAAAAGATCAATTGTCTGTCCGGTCATGTAGAGGACCCTGCCACAGGTATACCAACTCAAAACCCTTTTTTTAAAAACCATTTCGATACAGTTTTTTCCATCTTATTGAGCAAAGTTAGATGTTTTGTGGCCCCACAGAATTTTGCAGCTTACGAAAACTCTTCTTCTTGCTGTTATATATGCAGAAAATTGCCATTCTGTACACATCTTTGCCCAGAGACGTGCCATCCTGGCGAATGCCCATTACCGGACCAATGCTCCAAAAAGGTATTCTTGGCATTTCTGTATTCCCAAAGAAAGAAGGGAAAAAAAAGAGTGAAGTCTTATATGTTTGAATTATGTTAGGTTGTTATCCGGTGTGGATGCCAAACCTTGAAAAAAGAAATGCTATGTAAAGAGGTGCAAGCCATGTACCGGCAGCGTAGTGGTTGTGATGATCCCAAAGATGTGTACAAAAGCCGCCAATATGGAGTCGGTCTGCTTCCTTGTAACCCTAGCACTGGTTGCAAGGCCAAGACGAAGGTTACTGAGTCCGAGTTACACCTTCGCAGACCAAAACCTCAAGAGGTATTTAATCTGAAAGGGAACCATAGTTACTCTCCTAATTCAAAAAACAAAAAACTTCGAATTTTTGGACGCCCAAAAACACTTCGCGCTTTATTTTCTTTAATTGTAACGAAGACGTGGTCACGTTATTTCCTTGTCATTTAAAATCATTCCAGCCACACACTTTCAACATTTTTTTATTATCTCAGGAAAGGGAAGAAGCAGACATGAAATCCAATGCAAAGAAGCGTAAAAGACGAAGAGATCGTGTGCAGGAAGACAAGAAGATCTCAACACTCCAGGTATATTATGCTATTACCAAACGGCGCCTTATTCTGATGCCTTGCGTAAATTCTTACTGAGTTTTTTTTTCACCTGTTGCATTAACAGAGATTTATGACTGCAATCTGGAGGCTGCTCCTGTTTGTTACCATTCTTTTAACTCTGATAGTATCAGCCTATTATGGCTATAAAGGGCTGCTTTGGTTATCAGATCGGATGAACGAAGCTGAAACACAGCGAAGAAGTAGATACCCACCTCGTTTCTAGCAAAAAAAATGAAACCTTTAAGCTCCGTTTGGTACATGGAATTCAGTTTTGGATTAATGTAATTCTAATACATTTCGATGGTTTAAAGTCCTTCATGTATAATCGTTGAGTCTAAGTTATACTTCTAAAGTTTGAAAACAATGAGATTTCATAAAGTTATTTGGTTTCCCTCCCCAAATTACAAAAACACTAACATGACAACCAAAGCATCGTATTGGGGAAATTAGTTCTTGCTAAATCTAAGAAACATCAAAGTAACATATTGATGCTGATGATATTAGTGGTTTAAAGAAGAAAGTGTCACAAAAATTCTCCTTCCGTCCCAAAAAGATTCTTTTATTGTTTACGAGGTTTGACTGAAGTTATTTTCAATTTAATTTATTTGAAGATTTGTAAGAAATTGGCTAAAATCTACCATTGGTCCTTCAACTTTATCAGTTGTGCACGATTGGTCCTTCAAGTTTTAAAAGTCCATAAATAGTCCTTCAACTTTATTAGTTTTGCATCATTGGTTCTTCAAGTTTCAAAAGTCCATAAGTAGTCTTTTAGGTACACGTGAGCTCTTCAGATGAAGTCATTTTGACAGTAAATATTAAAAGTTAAAAGAAATATTAGTTTCATATAATATGAGTAAATTCCACTAGGTACGACTACTCCGTATTATATGGAGCTAGTATTCCATTTAGCTTTTAACATTTACTGTCAAAAGGACCTCATCTGGAGGGTTAACGTGTACTTGAAGGACTATTTATGCACTTTTATAACTTGAAAGACCAATCGTGTATAACTCATAAAGTTGAAGGACTATTTATGGATTTTTAAAACTTGAAGGACCAATCGTGCACAATTGATAAAGTTGAAGGACCAAAGGTAGACTTTAGCCTAAGAAATTAAAAAATAAAATTTATATATTTAAAAATTACATCAAAAGTTATGCAAAATAAAAAGTGACAAGATTAAATTATTTTTTTATATGAGTTGTAAACATTGACAAAAAATGTAGTTAAAATTTGATCTTGTGAATATTTAACAAATAATTTAAATTGAATCTGAGAGAGTATAAAAAAATGAATAGAAGGAATAATACGGAGTATTTTTTTTTGGGACAAAGAGTGAATTGAATGAGAGAGTCATGTTTGGGCGGCCGTCAATGGGTTGTGAGCATTTGATGTTGGAGGCTGTTTTTGGCCACATTTAATGGACTGGGCTGTTTTTTATTTAAATGTTTAGTATGAAACTAGAATGAAAATTAACAATATAATAATAATAGGGATTCATTCAAAGTCAAATCTCATCTAATTTGCCCAAATGCCCAACCTATACCCATTATTACACCCCCTAAAAAAGTCCTAATTAAACGTATGGGGTTGAGTAGCATTTCGATACATTTTAGTTCTTGGACCGTTACCGTCCATCCGAGACTAAAGTTTGACTAAGCTTTGTTTGACTCCCTATAAAAAAAGACCAGCTCAAACCTAACTTAATTTAACAAGCCACTTAAAAAAAATTGTACTGGAAATTGACAATTCTCAAACAAATCACACAATTGATGTATTTCACTAAAACCCAGATAAAATTTGGATGCTTCTAGATTGGTGGAAAATAGTATTTATTCCATCCCAAATTAAATTACTCCAGTACTTGTTTATTATTTATAAGATCAAATTTTATGCACTTTTCTTTCATATTTTCATTAGTTATCTGATAAAATAATATAGTCTTGTCACTACTAATTTTATAGATCTTTTGATATAATTTTTAAAATATATAATTATTATTTTTAGTTATACATTATTTTTTTAGATAAAATGAATTAAAAATAAATTCAATCAAACATCATACACTCAATCAGACAATTTAAATTAAGACGGGAAGAAAGAGTAGTCTTATTCATTTTTTCTTAAAATGATGTACTAATAGGTAGGAGCTTGAAAAAAATGCGACACAAAAGAATTGGGTGATCAAATTAGCAGTCCAAAAAAATAACTACAGCTTGTGTTAGAATTAGAAAAAAAAACTAACCCTACACACCGGCCAGAACCACCACATCCAACAATGTACCCCCACAAATCAACTCCAAAGAATAGTTGAAAAAATACAAAAAAAAGGCTCTAATTCCTGAAGAACTCAATCGGAAACAATGGAGATTTGGCCACTGGAAATGCGGCCGCCGTGACTGTCTTCACAGAGAGCCAAAGCCCTCTCCAAGTTGGCGACAATGTCCGTCATTGACGGCCGGTCTTTCCCTTCCAAACTCACGCAATGCACCGCCGTGTACGCCACCAGCTCCACCGCATCCCCCTCGCCCGGCTCCTCGGGCGGCCCCACCCTCCGGTCCAACACCCTGCCCAACTCCCCGCCCATTATCGCGGGGACCGCGTAGTCCACGAGGCTCGACGGGTCCCCGTCCTCCCCCTTGAAGATCGCCCTCCTCCCCGTCAGCAGCTCCAGCAACACAATCCCGAACCCGTAGACGTCGCTCTTTGCCGTCACCACGTTCAGCCCGTAGTACTCTGGGTCGATGTACCCGACCGTGCCCGCCTTCTCCGTCATCGGCCCACGGTGCCGTCGTTGGTGGTCCCCGCTCATCAACGACAGCCCGAAGTCCGAGACCCGGGCGGTCCAGTTCCCGTCCAACAGAATGTTGGACGACTTGATGTCGCGGTGGATGATCGGCGGGACCGCGTAGCTGTGGAGGTACTCGATCCCGCGCGAGGCATCCAACGCGACCTTAATCCTTATTCTCCACGAATTCAGGAAATCGCTACTCTTGTGGGTGTTGTTCTTGTCATGTAAGTGGTTGTGGAGGGCCCCGTTCTTCATGTATTCATACACCAAAAGCCTCTCGTCCCCGTCCTCGCAGAACCCGACGAGCCGGACGAGGTGTTTGTGGTGGAGCCGGGAGAGGAACGAGAGCTCCGACTGGAATGCCGTTTCCTTCTCCTGGAATATCTTCGTCGCGGGCCCGCCTCGTTTGATCGCCACCTCGCGGCCGTCGCGGAGTTTTCCCCGGTAGACGGTCCCGAAGCTGCCGCCGCCGACCTTGTTTCCCGGCGAGAAGTTGTCGGTGGCGGCAACGAGGTCGGGGAAGGCGAACTCCTCGGCAATGTCAGCGTGCTTGGACGACGTGCCGCTCCTCTGCCGCCGCACGAGGCGGGAGCCCTGTCGCCGGATGGTGGACGATCTCGAGACGGGCCCGCTGGAGGAGTGGGGGTTGTGGGGGGCGCCGTGGATCGTGGGCTGAACCGAGTTGTGGATCTTCTTCTCCCCGAAGCAAACGCCGGTCCACAGGCAGTAGATGATAGTGCAAATTCCCGCAAATGCCCCTACCGATCCAACCACTGCGAATGCCAATAAACCCTTCCTGAGCCCCTTGGAGTCAGACGGTGGCGATGGAATTGCATCCGCCGCAGGAGGCGGCGGAGGTGGAGGCGAAGGTATTTGAATGCGGTCGCAGGGTTTGCAGATTTTTTTATTACCAGAACAGAGGGATTGATAATCGGGATAAACGCCACAATCTTCTTTACAATCGCTATCGACGCAAGGACCGGGAAGAATCTTAGGGAGGTGAAGCTCCGACGACCCGTTTTTCCAGCCGGGGCCCCAACAAACCACCGTCAAATTGCTCGTTCTCAACCCACAGGAGAACTCCGGCCCGGAAACAATGGATTCAAAAAACCCGCCGGGAATTGCACCGCCAGAAAACGCACCTTTTCCTCCCCAACAAACAATCGTTTGATTCGATCTCCGGATCGCGCAGCTATGGTTTAAGCCCAGAGATAATCCACTGTACTCGTAAGCTGAATTGAAGGGCACGTTCAATTCTCCATTTTCGTTGCTCCCTTTGCAGATCAAGTAGCCGGCGGTGGTCATCCCGCAGGCGAATCGTCCGCCGGCGGTGATGCTCGCCATTGATTCGTTTCCAAACTCTGTTTCTAGGGTTCCGGCCACGGGGTTTTCTCCCCAGCAAGTTACCCTGTTCGAGGATTTCATTACTCCGCAGGAAAAACCCGACCCGGATGAAATCGAGAGGAGTCCGGCGGGCCCGTTCCACCCGCCGCGCCAGCACACGGAGTTCCGGGTCGACCCGTTTGTAAGCCCGCAGATTTGAGAATCCCCAATCGTGACCGTCGAAAGCGGGGCCGTGTAGTTCAAGTACAGCCTTTTGGGTCTGAAGCGGGAATTCCAGCAGATGAGAGAGAAACCGCCGGACCGGACGCCGCAGAGGACTTTTTTCCCGCCGGCGACGGACTCGAAAGACACGCCGGGGTACACGTCAAAAGGGCTGCCGCCTCCTTCCCTCAAGCACCGGAGCGTCTGGGTCTGTTTCCCGGCGACGATGCCGCAGACGGTGACGGAGGCGCCGCCGTACATGACGGCCAAGGTAACGGAAGAGCCGCCGAGGGCATCCGCGGAGAGAGGGAAAAGAAGAAGGATAGCGGCGACCACTGTGAAGGAGGGAGTCGTCATCTATGCAGGGGAGAAGAAGATGGAAATAAATCCTCCCTCATTTGTAGAGAGATAAATCCTAATCCACTGGGAACTGAAATAAATTTGATTTTTGAAAAAAAAGAATCCACCATTTCTGGGCTCTTTTGAACTGAAACAGAGCTCTTCTGTTGGGGGGAGGGGGTCCGGGTCCCACGTGACTGAATTTCATAGAAGGATGCCGACTTTTGGGTGCACATGTGGAATTGTTCTTCTCGTTCAAAAACTTTTATTATTACCAGTCAAACTTTTAGATAGGGAAAAGTCCCTCCTCCGTCCACGGTCCAGCCGTGGTTTTCTCGCTGGTCTTTACGAGTACTTTTATCATTCTTATTTACTTACCATAAAATTAATTTTACAATAAATTGTAGTAGTAATTTTTTTGGTATTAATTAAAAATAATTTATTAAATTAAGGTCATGGTTTCATAAATATTTCTACAAAAGATATAAAGTATATTAAATAGTTCGATAGAAAAACATTTCATTTTATCTTTAGATATTTTTCAACTAACCTATACAATAATAACATAGAAGCAAATTAACATGTTATACAATTTTGGATAGTACTTTCTCCATCTTAAAATTATCTTTTCCACTACTATTCATATGTTCAACTTTAAATCACTTTTTTTTTATCTATTTTCATTAGTTATCTAATAAAATAATAATGCCTTAAAATAAGGATAGAATCAATCATTGTTAAGTATATGTGGAGAGGCGTCCCTACTAGAAGGGTGCAAAAGAAGCTCACCTTCTATAATTTAGCGCGTACAATATTGTGAAAATGACGACTGATTGTCTCTCTTGAATGGTTGAAAAAGAAAGACATTGTTCTATTTTTGACATTGTTGTTGGAAAAAGAATACATTCCCACTCCGGAGAACATGGATAAGACAATCAAAATATATAATTCACCCAACCTTATTGGCATGAGACTTTTTGGAAAATGCCCAAAAAAATAAAAATGTAATAATCTTTTAGAGATAGAGAGTATTTTTTTCTAAAAATACTATATTTATTGCCAATTTTTTATGAAATTTATTAGAAAGAGAAAAACAACCTTTAATGAAGTCTTTCATTCAAGTGAGGTATTTATTACCTTACATTATGTTTGATTCAAAAAATGTAATGGTATGTTTGGAAATATGGATTTGAATTTCAAATTCAAATTTGACTTAAATTCTGTGTTTGGGAAACTTTAAAAAATTAAATTTGGATTTGGGTTAAATTTTTCGCATTCATAATAAAACTTAATTTGAAATCCATGCATATCTTCTTGTCATTTGAAATTCAAGATTTCAAAATTTTAGATTTGAAATGCATAAATTAAAATGAAATGTTAGTTACCAAACACTACCCTAAAAGAATTTGAAAACAATCCTTTTATTTGGTTAGAAAGGAAAAGAGAAATTTGAAGAATAATAAAATGAAAAGGCAAAAATGCAAAATAAACTAAGGATCCGCTTGGTACATGAAATTGACAGAATTGAAATTGAAATGAGTGCTAAAATTCTATAGAATTGATTTGAATGAAATTACATTCTTTAATTTCAACTCATTTTTGGTTTACTAATTTCAAATACACATATTTTTGTGCCACCAAATAGCAGAATCCCAATTTCAATTCCATAGTTTGAATTTCGTATAACAAACTGAGCCTAAGAGAAAAAACAAAATTTCCTCCCATTTTGATGAGAAAAATGTAAAAAAATTTGCTTTTTTTTCATTTTCTTTCCTAACTCCTTGAACCAAACCTAGTTTTGATAGAATGTCATTCACAAATTATGCTTGTTCTTAATAGTCATCCTCTATTCTATTTATTGTTAATGAAGCTCCATCATCACTTGTAATGCCCTTGGCAAATAATTGTAAAAGATCAATTATTTATTATTGTGAATCCATTCTTTTATTTATGGTGGCACAATCTCTCTTAACTTCCACAAGGTATTTGAAGAAGAAACTTTACCATGATGATGACTCTCTTGCTCCAATTAAATCACAACTTCCTCAATACTAGTCAACGTATAATGACTGCTTTTTATTATTCCTATTAACAATTTCCACAACAATTATTTACCACTCAAGGGAGGCATGAAATCTAAACATGCATCTATCTTAGAAGAAAGGGTTATTAACTTATTATTCCTCATGTGTTTTTTTTTTTCATTCATTTTTACACCAATTGGACAAGGAAGAAGGAAAATCCCAAGTGACATTGGGAACATAATCAAGCTATAAACATGTAGTTACACAAGAACATCATTAAACAATGCAGAAGCTGGGATTCCATGGTTTTGAAACCACTCAAGCATACCAAATCTTTCATGAAGCACCGGTCTAACGTCCTTCTCGAGAGAAAGGTCCTTGAGAAGAGGGAGTATAACGTCCATAAGCTTGAGAAAAGCCATAATGCAAGCAGCAACAACAACAACAAAAATCAGTATAAATATAACCGGTATAAGTGGAATTGGACACAATTAGTGGATTTAGTGGTAAGGTAGCAAGTATTGCTATATACACCCTCCATGCCTAAACAAATTCTATCCACACAATTTTCACTTTTCAAAAACTTGCTTAAGCAGGCTGTTTCCCATATGTATTACCTGCTTGTCATGGGGATGTCCTGGAGAGAATGGAACACATGGGATCCCATTTAATGGCTGCAATAAGAAACTGAAGGGGTTGTTGTCAACGAGGACAATTCGGCATACATCTTTTGATATGACAAACAGATCCTTCACATGTTCTCTGTATTCCCTGTGATTCCGTAATGTAAGAGATAATCAGGGTTTACAACATTATTTAACAGCCTCCTTTAAATGAGGATCGAAAAAGAAAAAGAAAATAAAAAGAAAGATAGAATACCAAGAGTGCCCTAATGGACAACAATAATCGTAAAAAGAGGAAGCGTGGTTTAAACAGGTCGTACTTAGTGTTTACTACGAAGTACTAAGGTCATATAACCTTAAGAAGCCACTGTATATAGGGGACTAGGGCTGTTTCTCTATTGTTGACATTTGCCAATCCTTGAAAGCTTTAGGAATATGATTCATGTCATTACCAAACACAAAACTTCTAGAAAACTTGAAAAAAAATGAGGCGATGACCTAAAATAGACGTGTTTGGTATCACTTGATGTTCTGCTAAAACAAATTTCCTAGGTAAAAAGCAGCTTGTAATCAATGGTAACTTCCATTGTTAGATGCTTCATCTTATTGGAGACTTGGAAGCTACTCCTAATATTTATAAAAACGGTCAGTCCATTCATTTCATCTTATCCTCCAAAACAAGGGGAAAAAAGTCAGGGTAGTAAAGTTTGTGATAAATGGGATAAACCCTTCAAGTACTTGCAGAATCTTTGTATCCATTCATTTCTTCTAGAGCTATACTGTTCTCATTTTCTTGTGGACTGCATCAGATTCGTGCAATGTAGTAAATACAAGGGGCCCTCAAGACAGCATATTGATATATTCACAATAAGCATAATAATCAGAGGAATACTCGGAATAAGTAGCATTTCAACTTTTTTGGCTGAAACGGGTGTTGCCAAACGTTTTCCATTCAGAAAAGTTCAACAGGTTCAGCAAATAACGTTTACCAAACAGACCAATATATAGTAAATCAAGGTCATAGACTGGCTATACTTACGTCCTGGTTGTAGAAGGCCTGTAAAGTCTATGAATAAATCGATTTTCAGCATCTATTTTATCAACAAGGGGCCTCGCGTAGCCTAAAGAAAGACAATAACCACACTTGAAACTTAGACGTGCATAAATAAGACTTTTAGTTCAAAGAGAAGAATTAAAAGAAGAGCAAAATAAATGGCCACACACACCTTCAAGCCCGGCAGTGAACAGCACGAGGTCAGCGAATTCACTAAGCTGTTTTAGGAATTGGTGTAATCCAGGTCGTTCAAACACTGTCACATAGTTGATCTTAGGTTTTCCATCACACCCCTTAATTCACACAAAAATAGATAAAGTTCTTTCAGAGAATGTAGCCAATGGAGTGAAAACTATGGGATTGAAATTTATGCATAGGAACCATATGAAACACATGTTGCTCTTTGTATAAGGAAACAACATGAGCTCAACAAATTCACCAACACTATGTCTGGTTCAAGGAATTTGAGAGGGAAAGGAAAAGAAACTGAGAAAAAAAACATTTTTCTTGTTTGGCTAGAGAGGAAAAGAAAAGAAAATTGGAAGGAAAAGAAAATTAGAAGGCAAGATATAGTAAGAGGAGGGAAAACCAAATTCCTTATATTCTAGTGAGGAAAGCGAGGGAAAACAATTTTCTTTTCTTTTCTTCCAAATTCCTTGAACCAAACATAGTGTAAGTTGTTTTAGGAATGGGAATGGGTGAAAAAGGAAAACAGGCACAACAAATTGGGACGAAGGGAGTAATGATGTGTATATATAATTGTAGAAACTGGGGAACTTCACCTTCTCTGAAGAGATGCACTCAAGTTCAAACCAATGCAACCCAGCCTCTGTTGCCAAAGAGCGTATCGCCGGAGGCATGCTTGATGTCTCATAAGCACAAATCAAAGTTTCATCCAGGTCAAGTACAACCTGCAACATCTCCCTCAAAAAATTCAGACAACAATCTATAGTGACAAGCTCCAATTAAACTAAGAATGGTATTAGGGTTTTTTTACTATGGAAGGTAAAACAAAAGCAAATCTCCACAATAGATTCTGTGGAAGGTCAAGAATAGTTAATCCCTTCTCAGCATTAAGTGAAGATTTTCTTACACAGTAATTCTTGAAACAAGGAACAATAGATAAATCGCCAATAGGGACTAGAGAGAGAGAGACGGGTAATTTTTACAACAACAAAAAAAATTACTGACACCCTATTCTTCTCTCCTCCGTATATCTCTTTCTAAATTAATGTTGAGGCAATTAATTGCGTTTGAATAACAGGCGCCATTCGATAGATTTTTAAAGTCTAATTCAAACTTCATCTCCTAAATCAAATTCTGAGACTAAAAGCCAATCTCCAGCAAACCATAAACCGCGAAAATAGTTTTACCAGAGAAGTGGGGGAAAGTACCGTGAGTCTAGGCAGAGGAAGCTCGTCGTGACTGGATGCGACTCCTCCGCCGTCGATTTGCGGTAGGGGAACGGACGCGGAGGGCGGCGGCTCCGGGGACTCGGGAAGCTCAACAACCGGGAGAGGCTTGAATTGAGGGGGAGAAGAGAAGAGGGAGGAGAAGAACAACCGAGTCAACGACGGCGTGCTCCTGATGATCTGGAGGGAGATCTGGAAGAAGAAGGTGAGCCAGTTGAGGAGCGTCCGCCACACTTGAAGCGTTTTCGGGGCGTAGACTTCGGAAGCCTGGGACAGCTCCGCCATGACGCCGCCGGACGGAACCTGTCCAAACTGCTCTCTCGCTGTACGCAGGTGAGTCACACAGATAATAGAGGATCACGATGGAAACTCTGGGTTAATGCTTTTCTATTATTTATCTTCTTTCACTGAATTACTCCGACGATTTTTCCAAACATTGATTGACTGCTTTCAGTACAAGATGATTGTACTCTATCCTTCCTCCGATGATGATGAAGAATGATGCTGTAATGACTTGACATCCAAAAAAAATACTGAGTAAATGGAATAGCACATATAAATGGGATCCAAAATACACCAAACATTTATTTTTGAAAAATGCTAGGGGTACACCAAAGGTGTACCCCATTTGTCCTCCACCCCCTCCATTACCACATAAATGGATAAGGATTTTTAAAAAAATTAAATAAATAAAAAATAGATAAAAATGAGTGGTGAAGAAGAAGGTGGGGGACAAATGGGGTACACCTTTGGTGTAAGGTGTACCCCTAGCAATGCTCTTTATTTTTATAAAAAAATCTAGAAGCACCTAAGTTGTTGTACACCAGGTAGGGCTGGACACGGTCCCGGTGTGGAAATGGTATCGGCGCCGGTACTGGCGGTTCCGCCACTGGGACCGGTGACGAAGACGGCGGCCCAATACAGGGAACCGGTACCGGAATCATCCGCCATTGTACCAGTTTCGGTGTTTATTTTTTGTGGCCAGAACCGACGGTACCGCTACCGGTTCGGGTCCAAATTTGAATTTTTTTCCCCTTTTGTTCACTTGCTGACCCTTGATAGTGGTAATAATTATAAATTTATAATTCTTTACCCTTTTGTCGAAATTTTAATAATTACGGAGTATAATAAAAACAGTAATACTCCGTAATAATTATAATCATAATAATAACTATAATAATAAGAGTAATAATACTAATAGTAGTAGTAGTAATAATAATAATAATAATTTTGTTTAAATCTGATTTGATTGAACCTGATATGATTGCATCTGGTCTGATTTGATCTGGTTTAATAAGAACAAGTAATAAAAAAAATAAGTTGAACGGAACGCTGCCTTAGTCCCATACATTTATAATTGTCCTTTATTTGCATTTTAATTAAATATGATTATGTGACACAAATGTATATACTCCATATGTATGTGTGTGGTTACCCATTACACAACTACACAATTTACGCCAATTAGGGGTGAACATGTACCGAATGAATACCGAAAGTTTTCAAAAAATCGAACTGAAAAAATATCGCTAAAATATCGAATCGTACAGAACCGAATGCTCAGTTCGGTATTTGGCACAGTACAAGGTAGCTTGCCATACTGAAAATTCAAACCGAATATATTATAAATATAATAATCTTTTTAGATTTTTTCATTGAATAATAAGTTTATTTTTTAAAATTTAGCTCAAATTTTATTACGTGTACATTATATTTTTATTTTAGTTTTTTTGTTTTTGTATAAGAATTTAAAAATAGTAACACATATTTGAAATATCATTTTTTATCATCCGTTCACTGTAGCTTGTGAGATATACTTAAGTTTAATAAGTATTTCTTGCATTTAATTTTTCATTTTTTTGAGGGTATGTTGAGTCCCAACACTTTGTGAGAGTTGAAAGTTTTTTTAATGTAGTGTTTTTTGTTAGACGGGACGTTTTACCGACCAAATTCATTTTTACTGTAGACATGACACTTCTAGCGACCTACCCCCACGAGAGTATCCCTTTTTTTGGAAACTACTTCATCCGTCCCTGAATATTTGTTTACTTTTGACTTTTTTCGGTCAAAATTTGTAAACTTTGACATCAAATAAAATAAAAATGATATTAGATATTGATACAAAAAGAATTTTAATAGATTTATTATATCAAATATTTTCAAAATATTATTTTATTTAATTAAAATACAATATATATTTTATTTAATTATAGGTCAAAGATTGAAAACTGTTGACCGAAAAAAGTCAAAACTGGACAAATATTCCAGGACGGAGATAATACTCCCTATTTCAATTTTTGAAAGATTGATTGGTCCAAATATAATAATCTTTTTAGATTTTTCATTGAATAATAAGTTTATTTTTTAAAATTTAGCTCAATTTTTATTACGTGTACATTATATTTTTATTTTAGTCTTTTCGTTTTTTGTATAAGAATTTAAAAATAGTAACACATATTTGAAATATCATTTTTTATCATCCGTTCACTGTAGCTTGTGAGATATACTCCCTCCGTCCCAAAAAGAATGAGACGGTTTGACTTTTTGGGAAATTAAGGGAGGGATATTTTGGTATTGACTTTCCAAAAATACCCTTGATGTGATGGGTAAAAGTAGGATGTGATGGGTAGATTATTAGGAAAAAGGTATGATGTGATAGGTAGGGTATGAAAAAGTAAGGGGTAAAAGTGGTTTTTTAATAGAAATGTAACGAACTTTACGGGACGCAGTTTTTTTTAAACGTAACAAACTTTTTGGGACGGAGGGAGTACTTAAGTTTAATAAGTATTTCTTGCATTTAATTTTTCATTTTTTTTGAGGGTATGTTGAGTCCCAACACTTTGTGAGAGTTCAACACTTTGTGAGAGTTGAAAGTTTTTTTAATGTAGTGTTTTTTTGTTAGACACTTAGACAGTTAGACGGGACGTTTTACTGATTGAAGTCATTTTTACTGTAGACATGACACTTCTAGCGACCTACCCTACGAGAGTATCCCTTATATTTTAGTCCTATTCAGTACAAATTTCACTATGCATGTTGTCCACTATGAGTAAGTAGCACTAAGTAAAGAGAGGAAATTAATAAAATAGAGTTAAATTTATAAATTTATTTCACTATGCATGTTGTCCACTATGAGTAAGTAGCACTAAGTAAAGAGAGGAAATTAATAAAATAGAGTTAAATTTATAAATTTATATCGAGAGGAAGAAGTATAATTAATCACTCATTATTAATAGCACTAAAATTAGGGCATAAAGAGATGGAAGTATGTAAAATTAAGCAGCCCAAGGCATAGATATTTGGACGATGAATATTGCAATTCAGGCACAATAGGGCTAGTTAGGTCGTAAAGATAATTACGTCTATCGAATAATTACCAATTAAGTACATAACATATTTTTTTAAATCAATGATCAATTAATTAGATAAAAAAACCATGTCGTACCCGACCATCCCAAATTTAAAAAGTTGTTTTAGTTTGACTCTTAAAAATTAGTTTTGATTTTTCTAAATAGACAATTAAATCAAGAGGGGTTACTTATATTGTTGAAAGGGAAACTCTACAAACCATACAAATTTTTACCAAGAGGTAAACATAGATCTTACTTTGAATCAGACAAAAAAACAATTGTGAAAAAACACAAATACTCTAATATTCAATTCATCCCAAACAAAAAAAAAAAGATTTACTAGCTGAAAGAAAAAACATAAAAGTGATGTACAAGAACCAAGATTGGGGACTTGGATTATTTGTGTTATGTACTGACCAAACCAAAACCAAAAGAATCCTTAGCTTCTATAGCTGTGTTTGGGAGCCTGTTGAACATGAGAATCTGAATCCTCAGCTCCAAACTGATATGATCATTACAATGAAAATAAAATGAATATACAAAAAAATAAAAATGCCCTTTAACAAAAAAAACAACCATGGATTATTGGTGTGAAAAAAGCCAGGGGTGTCGAAGGGCCTCAGAAGCGGTGGGACGCCTTTTAGGATTAATCTGAAGCAGTTTCCTCACAAAATCAATGAACAGAGGATCTGAAACTTGCAACTGTTCCTCCAAGGACGTCTCCTCCGGGATTAAGTACTCCACTCGATTCGTCTCCTATAAACACAATGCCACCAACAGAAGAAAAAAAACACAAAGTTCTGAGGGCATAATGGACCAAATCAAAATGGCAAACTAACTAAACTTCCCTTCCACCTTACTTTCTGTGAAGTTTTCTTAGCAGTAAATGCAGCAATGCATCTTGGGTCTAACAAAAGCAGACCAAATATGGAGGGGAAACGAACCTCATTCATGAGATAAAGGTCAAACTCTTTTGTGAAATACTTGTGTGTCTCTTGCCCTTTCAACAACATGTCCATGTCAAATGGACCAAGCACTCCTATCACCCGCGCTAGCAAAACTGCAATCGCTTCATTGGGGAAAAGCACCTAAACAGATGTATTTGATTGGTCCGTTTCAATTTGTAGACATTTACACTATGTTTGGTTCAAGGAATTTGAAAGGGAAAAGAAAAGAAAATGAAGTGGAAAACCATTTTTCTTGTTTGGTAAGAGGGGAAAAGAAAGGAAAAGTGGGAGGAAAAGAAAATGAGGAGGCAAAATGTACCAAGTGGAGGGAAAATCAAATTCCTTCCATTTTGGTGAGGAAAATGAGAGAAAACCATTTTCTTTTCTTTTCCTTCCAAAATCTTTGAGACAAACATAGTGTTAAAAGAATGATTTTTTTGGGGAAAGAGGCAGAAAACAATCATTCATATTTCATACCTCTCCGGTGCAAAGCTCTGCCAAAACACATCCAAGAGACCAAATATCGATTCTATGGTCGTAGGGGAGTCCTAAGATGACCTCAGGTGCCCTATAGGACCGGGACTGTACATATAAGGACAAGTCGTCCGTCTCAAAACAGCTGCTTCCAAGATCAATCACTTTGATCTCACATTTCTTGAAGCTTTTTATGAGAATATTTTCAGGCTTTACATCGCAGTGGATAATCCCCAAACTGTGCAGAAACTCTAGAGCCACTAGGCATTGCCTTGTTATTGCCTGTGAAGGTGCAAAGAAACAATTTTGTGTGAATAAACAAGTAAAATAACATATAAAATAAAACCCTTTAGCTTGGACATTGCAAACCTTTAGTTTGGACATTGTGAAATAAGGCTCGGTCTCAGATTCCCTATTGTATTTTTGAAATTCATACAAGTCGGCTCGCAGAAGTTCACAAACAATGAAGAGATGCTCCTGCATGATTTATAACGAGAACGAAATATACCATTATTTGATGAAAACATTATGGGGAAAAAAGCTGTGGCACACCACTTTTGACACCAGAGAAGGATTTCAGCTATCGGAAAAGTGTCTGTGAATTCCTTCTTTGGTGTCGAAAATGGTGTGTGCACCCAGAATGATCCAAAAATAACATCTTTTAGGGGCCACCTGATAGTAGAAGTAATCATAGAGGTGTAATATATGGCGCTCATCACCCGGATCGTGCTTGTTTACAAACT